AAATGATAGGTTTCAAATGATAACGGCAAGTAAATTTTTTATTCAATATCCCAGATCTTCCGGATTACCTCCGATAGCGGTCATTTCGGCAGGGAGTTAACGACGATCGTTTTTCAAATCATTGAATCTCGTAATTTTAATTTTTATTTAAATAAAAATTATTCTTCCATTAGTGTTAATGGGAGAATATTTATGGAGAAAAATATATATAAAATCTTTTCTCTTCTTTTTTTTTGTTAATTTCGCGAATCGACGTCGCGCCCTCGTGCCGAAACCGTTGCTTTCGGGGATGACAAAGAAAACCAGGGATTAACTCTGGTTCTGCAACGGCGCAGCTAACTTTCTACATTGAAAATTGCTTACACTCCTCTACGGAGTTTCAATATATTCTCAATAAATATTCTCCCATTAACACTAATAATGGAAGAATTATTTATATTTTAATAAAAATGAAAATATACGAGGTTCAACGATATGATAAACGATCGTTGTTAACTCCCTGCTGAAATGACCGCTATCGGAGGCAATCTGGAATATCTGGGATTCATTCTTTCCTACAGCGGGGCCTCTAAAGTTCAACGAGTTCGACTTAGTTTTTTTCACATTCGTTTAATTTCATAGAACTCTACAAATCAGGGTATGTCGAGCTCATTTTCCATTGAGAATCGTTGAATTACATCACAGAACTTAAACGAAATATGGCGAATATTAATGATGTATTCGTCGAGCTAATCTTTTGTAGCCTATCAATTTTCATTAATGATTGATGTATAAAGTAAAATAATATGACGTGAGATTCTAATATATTTTGTCAAGATAACTGAAATTTTAACTTACTTAAATATTTTATTTGCGGTTATTAATTTATTATAATATCCAATTATAATATCGGTTGCAATTGTGAAAGAAGTTTCGTTTTTCTGGATCTCACATCATTTATTCTTTGTATGTATGTGTGTATGTACATACGTGATATACGTACTTTCAAGATGCGTTTCGCATGAATACATGCATAGTCACACGCATCTTTGTATTTTCGCGGTCGGTTTTCGCGGTCGGTTTTCGCGATCGGTTTTTCAGGAAAACTTTTCAATTAATTATTAATTATTTAATTTTATCCATTATTATAAATTTTAATTTATCGAGGAATATGATTAAAATCACTCTAACGCGAAGTAAATTTTTTTCTATATCTACGTGAATTTCGAATTCAAAGATAAAGTTACGAAGAGATGGTCAATATTTTTGAACAAATAACGGAAGTAAAAATAAATTTAACTCGTATATACAGTAAAGTTTTTTTGAACTAATATTCTTCTTTAATTAACCTCTCGTGGTCGTGCATTTTGCGATAAGATCGACACTCGTATATTCGAACCGTACGAAATATTTGTCGGTGACGATAACCGACTATGGAAGGAGTTTTCTTCCTTCCTGATTTCTGGTCAAAATGACCAGATTGTATGGCCGGGAGCAACGAAAGGTAGGTTCAATCTGGCCCACCGAAGGACTAAATATATACATATATATATAATACGACGAGGTAAGTGGTCAATATTGGCCACTCTAATGGAGTACCTAAGTAAGGTGCTGTACGAAGTATACTTTGATTTCTTTTGATTTGTTACAATTCGGGTGGGTTATGCTTCTATATATCACATACCTACATTCTCGCATATGTGCGAGAGTGAAATCCCTATTAAATCCCGCGGTCGCGTTAAACTCCAAGTCAAATCCCTAGAAAATCGCGTCGCGGTTAATTAAAGATTTGTAGGTTCATTATGTTGAAACACGGGTAGGTAGAAATTGAATAAGTAGGTCTATAGATCGGAATACGGGTAGGTAGGGATTCGGATAGTCAGGGATAGGGGGACATAATTTGAGAGTTTAAAATATTAGATAACATAAATTAACGAAGTAATAGTTTCATATATAACGTCGAGAGAAATATTGTAGGTATTTAAAATGTCATTATTTCTTTTATTATATTATAAGTGTATTGTAAAGTAAGTTATAATAAAAATGTAAGAAATCAAACTGTAAAGAAAAGAGGACCGTCGATTAAACGCGGCGGGGGTGGTGGAGGGCCTCTATATAGGTCAATTTGTTTCTGTCGAATAAAATTTTAGTTCAATTCGATTCACATAGTCTTTTAATCGATAGTTTCGTTTGCAATTGATTGATAAATTTGCCTTTACAGTTTGATTTTTCGTTTGCACATTAATAAAAAATGTTGTACAATTATGAGCACAGCCACATATGTAACACGTTATGTGTACTGTGTAACATTTTCTATTGATGTTTTACATAGTAAGAGTTAGGTATGTATTGTAAACACACACATGTCACATGTTCATATGTAATTGTACATATTTTTATTGTGTATCATGTTTTTAGTTTCTCTATGTAATTTTCTCTCTTTTTATATTTTTGTATATATTTCAGAATATGTTGTGAAAAAACTAAGTTATAAAAATGTAAAAATGCAATTTTATCGTAAACAAAAGAGGACCGCCGATAAAAATTCGGCGGGGGTGGTGGAGGGCCTCTACAAGTTGGTCTGTTGGTCAACCATTGAACTATAACCATACTGGAGAGAGCACTGCCTACCCCCTCCATAGTATCGAGCGGTCAGAGAGAGATAGTTAAGTTGCGATCGTGTTGTCTCTTTTTAACGTCAACTCATGGCTGAAGGCATTGGTTCAGATTTGTACACGTATAGTGCGTGTAGTGACAACTAAAAAGTGTATATAAATCTATCAAAAATGGGAAGAGAATGTTTCCGAAATTTATTATTTATTATCAGTCTCCATTAATCAAATATTTAGGTACATACGAGAAAAATGCTTGCGAAAGCAAATGTTTTCAGACTATGTAGTATATCGAGTCACGTGATCGCTGTAGTTAGTTAGACAAGAATAGTACGATCGCAACTTAACTATTCCTCTCGCACAGCTCTGGCCGCACGACAACAATGGAGTGCTCCTTCCAGTATAGTTATAGTTCAATGATCGCAACTTAACTATCTCTTTCTGACCGCTCGATACTATGGAGGGGGTAGGCAATCCTCCTTCCAGTATGGTTACAGTTTAATGGGGCGATGTGACGGAAGTGCCCTAGGCATTGTGGGTAAAGTGGGTCGTCAAGATGGCCACTTACGGGCGCCAATATTGAATGACTTTTCGGCATTGCAGCATGATGGAACTACGAAAAGTAGCTCAAAATTTTCAGTAGTAATTATAAAATGATTTTATTTCAAGTATGATCTCCAAGATAACTTGCTTTGCCAATACCCTATGCTTTATTCATAATTATTATCAGCGAGTAACCTTATTCTTGTGAATAAAAAAGATAAGACAATTATGACCAAAATATTAACTTTCTTAAGGAAATTTTTCTAGGCACATCTCTAGTTCTCGCTTTTCGGAAAACAGTGAAAAATGATTTAGTAATTATGTATGATTTCATGTCATTGAGTTGAGCGTATCCCGTTTGGACACGTAACGATTGGACACCGCTCGAAAAATTAAGTTAACCTTGAAATGACCTTGAAGGGCATGGTCAAGGTCAAAGTCAAGGTCATTATCTTACTCCCCACTTGAAATCATACAACTTTGCTATTGGACATTTTCTCCAAAATGCATTCTGACTAAAAATATTAGGGGGTCCGATACTTTTCGATGACCCTGTATGTTAACCGCACAGCAATAGCTAATACGATTATTAATACATTTATCTACACAAGTTCATCGAATTTTGAGATATTGTTTTATGATTACAGAATTACAGAAGCAATATGCTTACCTAAAGAATCATTGAAACAGGTCATTAGAATTTTTTAAATAAAATAAATAAGCAGATTATTAGAACGTTAATATTAAGTATGAATCAAAAATTTAATATTGAAATAATAAATATTAAAAACCTCATGTTAATTAAGAGCAAAATAATTAGAATTTATTTTTAAATGTTTCTGTAATATTTTAAACTTATAAACATGTATAATATTACTTTTAATATTAATATGTAATTGAATACTCTATTGTAAATTAAATACTCTTATATAAAGTCATCTGTCATTGTCAGTTATATTTTATAATAAATATAATGATATATAAATATATATCATAATACGGTAAACAAATATGTAATATACTCACGTAAACATGTTATATATTATTTTTCAAATGAGATTTAATTTAAATACTACAAATTATACCATAATATTTTAAAACTTTTTCTGCTTTTTGTCCTTTCCTTTCTCCCTCTCTCTCCCTTCCTCCCTCCCTCCCACCCTCTCCCTCTCTCTCTCTCTCTTTCTCTCCCCCCTCTCTCCAAGAAAGTAAAATGTGTGAATTATGTCATACACTTTATTTCTAAAGTTACATAAATTTTCCAAAACATTGCTCATAATTGAAATCTTCAATCACTTCCTTCATATCAAGCTTTCAAATAACGTTGTAAAATCTCTTCACGGTCGGATAAATGTGTTTCCATCTGTCTTACAACAAGAAAAACGCACATGTAAATTTATTCGAGAAAAATGAACTGTTGGGGCAGGGTGTGCCTATCTGTTTATCCATATGTAAATGGCGTGCGTACATCGCACACATTTGCCCTATGTCGTATTTCACAGGAGTAGGGAGAGATCTGTTATTGATCCTTTCTCCTCGCGCGTCGTTCCCTCCCTTTCTACGTGGCAATGGCAGAACGTCGTTCACCCAGCTTTTCGTAGCAAGAGCTCGCAGCATAGTGAGGACCTCTCTCTCGTTGGAAACCTTTGTCGTATATCGACGATGACGGGCTGAAGGAGAGATCGCCGGGAAGTAACGTGGCTACGCAGCGAACAGGGCCAAAGCACAGGGCACGGAGACAGCCGAGTACGACCGAGGTCGCGAGCGTCGACCGAATGAGTCTCTCTCTGCCTCTCTCTCTCTCTCTTTCTCTCTTTCTCTCTACCTCTCTCTTCTCTTCCTCTCTCTACTCAGCGCTCAGGTCCAGTACTTCAGTGTGTGCACAGCGGCCGGCCGGCGTGCATAGTTGTTAATGGTGGTGTTGTGTTCTTGGAATCAAGCGCTTTTTGCGCAAAATCGTTCTCTGTTGTGTTTATTTTTATCGATGTTCATGCGAAGCAAGAACTAAATTTGACGATCAGACGACATTGCTTTTGTGTTTCAAATTGCGTCGGGCCTCAGGGCCCGCAGCTCTTGTTTTCGTTCAGATCAACTCCGGGAAGCATGCAATCATGGAGCTTGCAGACTTATCCCAGAGACGAATCGGCTGCAATGTCTGCACGGGTGTTACCCTTCGATGGCAGCTTGTCTCGCGTAATAATCATCACAAATCGTTATACGACAAAAGTCAGTACTTTCTCAAATCGTCAAACGTATTCTTGAGAAAAGAGAGAGGAAGCAAGAGACATTATACAAGAGAGAGAGAGAGAGAGAGAGAGAGAGCGCGAGAGAGAGAGAGAGAGAGGGGGGAGAGGAGGGGGGAGAGAGAAACACAGAAAGTCATAAAATCAAAGGGTCAAGCTATATCAAGATAGCATTATGAGATAGCACATTAAAAATTCTAGGCAGAGTGTTTCAGAAAATAGTGATTTGATTATCATATGAAATCAATTGAGAAGAATTCTTAAATTCTTGGTTAGCACAGAGTATCTGTAGTTATCTTCCTTTGATAACTTACAAATTGCGCTAAAATCATTTTTATGCAGGACGTAATTATGCACATAGTGGGAATTAATTGTGGACGAAAGAAAAATAGAGTATTAGAAGAAGATAGATAAATATAGCGAGGAAAAGAGTAGGAATTGGAAGGAAGGAGGAAAACGCGAGAATGGAAGGATGGGAAGGGGAGAGGGGGAGGGCGAAGAGAAGGAGGGGGAAGGAAGAGGGAGAGAGGGATATGGAGATAATACAAACTTTAATATGATAAATTATCAGACCTTAATCTGTACCTAATAATTTCATAAGAGATATGTTTAGAAAATAATAGAATTCCAAAAATATAATTTATTCAAATGGATAATAAAGATAAAAAAATCCGTGATTAAATAAATTAAGATTAATGAATATAAAAAACTGCCATGTTGTATCACTTTATGCATTAATGCATATAGTATAAATCTGTGGAATGCTTCATATATATTGCATATACATTGCATTAATTTTTGCATTAATTAATACACTGCATTAAATTTTAATAATCTTTAGCCAAATATTTTTTAATGAAAATTATTGATGTATTAGTATATACTCTGTACAGTACATTATACATGTGTTTAAAAAAATTCATGATTTTAAAGGCAGTACCCATGAAAATGAAGATAAAGGTTTTGATAAACGTGGGTCGAAAAATTAATATTGTTGGAATTACAAGTAATTTTTGCAGTTATGTGCCATCACATAGTACAGCCTGGCACACGTGCGCGCGCTCATACATACTCATACATATGCACGCACGCAAACACACACACGTGTACGCACGCGCACGCCTCGCGCTACGCGCAAACACTCGCGCATACGCACGCACACACACACAAACACAAACACACGTGTGTAAATTTGTCAAGGTATATATATATATATATTTCTTATGGAGATATATTTATATATATCCATAAGAAATATTAATGTTTTTAGCAACATACTTTTACTTTAAAGAATATATTTTTGAATTTATAAATTATTATTTGTGTATTTCAATACTTACACATATTGTTCTTGTTTTTCTTTTGTTATAGAAGATGCTGTAATGACCACAACCATACTGTAAACATCCTCGCATGCTTATTTTAATGTTTATTATATTATTAATTTATTGTTTATTAATCTGTTACATTTTTAATACAATTTGCTATTGTATATATTATGCGTGTTATTGACGTGTATACATTCAGTTCTCTAATAAATCCCATAAACAAAATTTAAGTGTAAAATCTGATGTTGGAGTGGCCAAAATATTGAACTTATGTACCAATCTAATTGTCTCCATATTTTTTATTTAAATTCCCTGTTTATGTTTTATAAGTTATGCTAGTGCATTATTAATAAAGATTACAAAGTTTGTTCTTTGCTGTGTGTATATGAATAATGTCAATATTATATAAAGAAACTAGTAGTAAATAAAAATCTGTAAAATTTTGATATCTTAATTCATTTGAATTGACATTAAAGAAATATAATATTTAAATATACTTTTACTTGATTACTTACATATTTCTTAAATGAAAGTTTCTGCAGACTGTACAGGGTGTACTAAAACCACCGGATATCTTTTTAATCACAGATTCTTTACAAAATTTGAAGACAAATTCTAATACAAAAATTTTGATGCTATAATAGTGTTTAAATAATAAGCGATCGTATTTCACAAATAACGTTTGAGATTTTGCGAGTTCAGGCATTTAAACATTTGTAGTAAAAGTGTATCTTAATTAAGAATTAAAATTGGTGAAAAATTAAAAAATTTGTGTTTGGTTTTATTACAAACAATAGTAAATAATATTCCGTCTATCATATGCTTTAGAATCAATAAAAAAATTGTTTTCGCCTGTAAATATCGCATTCATGTTTTATACGTATAATTTATTGCACAAATAATGAAAAATGTAAAATAATAAATATGAAACTTAGGCCGGTATTCATAGTCAGATCTTGTATTTAATATCGTCTTAATTATGATGTTTTAGATATGCTGTAACCAATAAAATGATACATACAGCATCCTAAACTTAAGACGGTCTTGAATACAAGACCCGACTATGAATACCGGCTTAATTTCGTGACATTTTATTTGCATCGTAGCACAGTAACATCTTCGTGGTAATTGATATTGATCGACCATTTCGACAGCTGCAACGTGTTGAAGTTACAACATTTTTACTTGAATTATTTTTAAGATGGCTTAAGGACGTTTATCGGTAAATAAATTTTCTATGTATTTGCTTCAAATTTGAACCATATTCTATTAATAGTGTTATTTATATGCCTGCTCAATTTTTAAAACCGTGTCTGTACCAAAGTCGCGATATTCAATATCAAAATTACTTGTATGGTACAGGCGAAATGGTATAAGTGTTTTACAGGGATATTTTAATTTATTGTGATAAAAATTGTTTATATATTTTGCTACAATACTAATCTATGATGCATAATGATATTAGAAATGATATATTACAAGATAGGGATACGAAGCTGTACCGGTTATGCGAAATTGTAATCCGAAATTCTTCATCTCACAATATTTCGAAGCGTGTCGGCCAAAATACATTCACAAACGCAACATTGTCCGATCTTTGTTTTTCACAAAGCGTGCTAGTGTATGTGTAAACATATAAGATGCAGAGGTGCGTTAATTGTGTAGTGTGTCTAATTTACGCTTAAAGTCGCGAAGTACGAAGACGGTAGCGCTATACCGAAAGAAAACTGAACGTAGGCGAAAACTTTTGGCTACGATTATAGCCGATAAACGTCCTTAAATTCACACGTTCATTATTCGTGAAGATAAGATACTAATACAACGCGTAAAGAAGCGAGAAACGTATAACATTATTAAATGTTATTAAAATTTGTACGATAAGCATAATTCATAAAAAAGGCGATATTTATAGAGGTATTTTTATCACTTATGTCGCCGTGCCTGAGCGCGCAAAATCTCAATCCTGTCATGTATGAAATATAATCACTTATTATTTAAAAATTATTATAGCATCGACATTTTTGTATTAGAATTTTTGTCTTGAAATTTTCTAAACAATCTGTGATTAAAAAGATATCCGGTGCTTTTGGTACACCCTGTATATGTTAATTATATCAATTCAATCATTCCGTTATTAGCAAGTAATATTTTTGATGTCCATAAATTTTTAAAAACAGAATTTGTATTTTCCAGAATGGACACTTTAAAAACTACAAACAAAAATTTATTCGTCAAATTTTATCTGCATATTTCAACACATGTACTGATCGATACATAAATCTAATATTTTGACCGCTACAATCACCGGACTTTACACATAAATATTTATTTATGTTAATTTTCGAAGAAAATTGACACAGACAAAATTTTTTAATATTGCATTCTTTAGACTTTTCAAACTAATGCTTGATTTTGTTCAATATATACGTATATGTCAACATTGATATATGACATTTTATCTTGCAATAATGGTGTTGAGATTTCAGTCTTTATCTTATAGGTTATTTTATAGATATTTTATTAAGAGAGATATTTAATTTTAATAGTGAATTTTTATATCGAAAATATATTTATATTTATTTATTGTATTTTATAACAGCAACAAATCCCGAGATAATCTTCTTACCATACATCACTAGAATTTTGATTGCATTTGGCAGATACAAATAACAAATCCACTTTCTCGTTATTTATAAATGATTTTATAAGGTTTAATAATTATTCAGATTTACTTTAAAAATATAGTATTAACATTCTTATGTGCATGCGCTTTATCTTAATGATTTGTAAACGAAGATGTTGAGATATTTAAAGTGATAGGTCATTCAGTTTATAATGTAAATTAAACAGACGTGTGAAAGTATTAAAATTAAATTAAATTAAAATATACAAATAATGTTTTCAAAAATTTTTAAGTGTACCTGTGAAGTTAATATTTTTCAATAACATAATACTTTTTTATAAAGAATAAAAAAACGGTATCAAGTCAAATTTTACAATACATGAATAGTTCTAGATAAACATTTAAATAACTAAAAAAGTATAATTGACTTTTGCAGTTACATGTATTCACAGAAATGCATACTAACGCATAAAATTAGGAAAGTTAAAATTAGGATTAATATTGTTTTATACTATTTTTCTGTATTTTAAACAGTTTGGCAATATAACTTGACAGTTTTGTGTGGAACACACATGCATACACCCACGTACGTATATGCACGTACATGTTCGCAGATGCAGATGCACGGGATAATATCATATATTTTTCACTTGTACTATTTGCTATATACACACACGTATACATATATTTACGGTGTACCCATTTTAACCAGTTCAGTCAAATATTTCAAAAACTGAAACCAGCAGGCAAAAATATTTCAGATAAATGTTGGATGATCTGAAGGAGGATTGTGGTAAAATTAATTAAAAAGAATCTATTTTTAACATAGTATGAAAATCATTGTCATTGTTTAAAACGGAATTATATAATATGTTTTACATAATATGATTCTTCTAGTTATTCTATACATATTCTATACACTTATTCTATACATGACGGTATTAAAATAAAGTTATCAAAAAATTAAAAGTTTAAACTTTAAAATATCATTTATACCTTATTCTGACATACTTTAATACAAAATGTGTTTCAATACAGAATAACAAAATTAATTAATTGGTAAAGAAAACATATAATTACTGTCTGAAAAAGATATTTAATTGTATATTGGAAATTGTATAATTGCAAAAATGTATTAGTATTTACATGTAGAATAACTAAGAAAATTAAATTGTATAAAAAATCATGTTTTTCTTTTTTAATATCAATGAAGATGGCGGTGGCGGATAATATCATGGAGATATGATCTATTTCAAGTTAAAACAAAGGAAGCTTTATTTCTCACACAATTTACATATACATATACAATAGGTACATACAGGGTGTCAGACTCGTTAGTAGCCAAACTAAAAATTATGGTAGATTGGGTTAAACTGAGGAGAAAAGTCATGTACTGTTGTACAAAATTAGCAATAGGTAGTTATCGCGTAATTGATAAAAATGTCTGGCCGAATGAGCGAATATGGGGCGGATGGCCGGACTCGGCAGGCATGTAAAATGGTTTATTTGTTTATATCTCCTAGGACGCGGTAGCGAGAGGTGGAGTCACGCATCGAGTGACGTCGCTCGTTACATGATATCTATCTAAAAACAACAGCGTAGTGATACATAACAGCATTATTAAGAGTTACAGAATAGATACCTTAAGTTTATATATTTATAATTTAGATAATTCTGTGTGTGTGTGTGTGTGTATATTTTTTTATGTACAAATGGGATGACACCAGGCCAGATTCTAATGTACTATAATATATAATAACCATCTCTTTTTTTAAAGCGTTTTCTTCAAAATGTAGTGAGCACAATTTTGCATTTTTTGATACATCTTTATTGTTTAGATCCATTTTTTCGAGCCATTTTTGGCGGTTCTTCTGGATTCTTAGGTATTCTAATAATACGATTAGTATTACAAGTTAACAATAAAACAGTTATATAATATAATTTTATTGCAATACTTAAGTACATTTACCTATAAAATGTACTTTTTGGTTATGAGATTTTGGTTATGAGATTTTTCACATTGTGTACTTGTATTTTATTCTTCCGGCTATTATTATTTTGGCTTTTACAGTTGGGTCTTTAGCCCAACAATCCGGCATGTTATACACACTATTAATTTTTTTATGTAATATATGCGATAAGAATAATAGCGGGTAATTTCGGAACGTGTTGTAATATCTCAGTTAACGTCGTGCGACGTGAAAATAGATGCTAAATCTGAGGCATCTGACAATAAGATGAACGCGACTGTGAACCTCTCTCCCCTCAGGGACTACTCCCCGCGTCTAAAAGGGTACTTTACGCTCTGTCCAGATATTTTTCCGTCCATGGTTTCAATGATCTTTGCATCAACTTCATTATGTAGGTGACACATAGTGCCAACACAGTGCTGAGAGTATGAATTTCTGTCGAATAAAACATAGGTGCAGTAGGCGTTGACAATTACAAATTTGATGAGAATTAAGAGTACGAAGGTGTGTATACGAGCATGTATTGGAAGAAACCCAATGATACAAAGAAGAAATATGTAAAAGTAGAGATGAAGAAACAATAAAGATTTAGACGAAGTAAAATAGAAAAAGTACAAACAGCGACAGATACGCAAAACTGGCGACCCAAGCACGTGACAGCGGCTCCCGTGGGTCTCGGACCCGCTGCCGAGCCAATGGTGGGTCACTTTCTAGCCGGGGCAGCACTACAGAGATGCAATGCGGTTTATGTGCCGTCGTTGCTGGCCTGTTTCGTCGAGCTATGTGTATTGCCGGCAGTCGACGCGGCTCTGGAGAATCCTGTTATCAAGAGCTGGCCACAGATATGCAGGAGCGACAACATTCGCAGATGGAAGACACAGAAATTGAGCTCATCAAAGCAAGTGAAATCGTAACAAGAGTAAAAAACATCGTTCAAGTGGAAGAGGTGAGATTAGACACAATTATTTCTAAACAATTAGCTTATGTCATGTTAAAGAAAATAATGACGGATTAAAAAATTTAATAAATGTAATATATATATATACATATATATATATATATATATATATATTATGTAAATGTAGTCTCAAAAGAATTATCACTCAAGTTCAATTTAAAATAATAGTTTAACATTAATTGATACTGCCATTATATTGAAGGTAGCAATAAGGTTTTGACTATATTAAAAAATAAATGAATATGTGCTACATATAAACACACATTTATTTATATTTTAATATTTTTATTTTATATTATAATTCACTTCAAGTATTAATTTAAAATTAACCTTATTTTTAGAGCTAAACTGCCAGTACTAGTTTAAAATGTATTCCTTCCACTGTGAAAAGAGAAAGATAAATTTTAAAGGCGATTAATTTCTTTCTTATTCTGAAATGGAACTTAATTATTCCTTGAGATAAAAGTTAGATCTCGTCCAGTCGTTTTTAAAACATTTCTCAAAATTGTAGTGCTAAAAGTAAGATAGTGAATAGAAACATAGATAGTGAAATGAGTTTACAACAACTATTGAAGCCTTTTACATGAATAATAAACCACAGAATCAATGGTTTTGTAAACTTTGAAGCTTTATATCTCCGGAAAGACTAATGTAAAAAAGAATATTTGAGGATGTTTTAAGAACGTCTTGACGAGACCTACAACTTTTGTCTTAAAGAAAAAATTAAGTTCCATTTAAGGAATTAAATGCCTTTAAAATTTCTTGAAAACAACGACATCTATGACATGATTCATACCGAAATTATCCCCTTTTGGATCATACAACTTTTGTCTGAAATATTTCTCCGACAAACAATTGTCGAGATATCACAAGTTAATAAATTTTAATAAGAAAGAAAGCTCTTTAGTTTTGCTATTTAACATATTTTATATGGACACTTCTAAAATAATGGAAAAGTACGCGAGTATTACAGGGACTGTTTTTCTTTCAATTAGAGAGATTTTATAAAAATCTGGAATATATATATATATATATTCATGCAAGACAAGAAAATAATAAAAATAGGTTTTAATAATTCACCTGCATACTTCATCTTCTATGAGATATTTAAAATTAGACCTAAGGTCAGATGTTGGTAGCTGTCGTCATCAACGTTCCTGACCTAGACTCGCTCGAGTATAAACATTTAACACGTTCATGAAACGAGAAAGATACAAATATAGAAAGAAAAAAAGAACTTGATTTATATTTAATAAATTTAATTCGATTTATGTAACTGCCAATGAGTTAAAACAAAAAATGGACAATATAAAATAAACTACCAATATACTAAAACTCGACTATCGCAATTTTATATAAATCGTTTATGTTATCACAATCAATATTAGTAATTAGATATATTTTCCAAGAAATATTTGTGAATAATATCTCAATAAATATGATAGTATAAAAAATCACACAAATGCACACACGCACGCGCAAACGTACAAGCACCAGTACATGTACACACATGCACGCACACGCACACGCACTCGCACACGCACTCAAGAGCTCAAAATTATATTAATTTCTATTAGAGGCGACAATCATAAAAAAAACTCAATTCATTATTAAATATATGAAAATACAGATGAAAAGAATTATATTATAAACTATTATCTATTTTTATCATATATATTTTAATAATTATTACTTTATTATTAATTTTTCTAGCTAGAATAAAAACATAAAATGAATTTATCGATTGGTACTAAAACATTATATCACATATTATAATATAAACATAATATTTAACATGCGTAAAATCTCCAATATATTTCATATAAAATATCGATTGTGGTCTACATTGCATATTCTGATATCACAATAGCCTGTCATTTTATATCCACACGTGCGCACGCGCACACACGACACACACACATACACGCACACGCGCCCACGTATAGTCATGCATATTTACACATATACATACATCTAGGTATATGAGACTACCTGTACAACTCTTTTAAAATTAAGAGAAATTAAGGGAAATGAAGGGAAGATTTATCAGAAATGTACAAAATGTTGATAAGTTAATTTACAGATATGCTTTAACAATTTAATGGTGATATTTTCATCTTCGGGTATTGACTGAAGATGGACTTTACCCATGTAGCACAGTAAGATTGCAGCAACATTATAGCAATATTTCGCGGCAAGATTGCAACATTGCCTAAAAAATGCAAAATGTTGCTGCAACATTGCTGCAGGATTGTAGCAACGGTAAAATGCTCGCCTGCAGAAATATTACAATGTAACATTACAGCAACAAAGTAATATAAACGTAGCAATATAATATATGTATATGCAATAGTACTTTATGTATTTTTTATTAATAATAAACGAAAAGAATTTAGGGAAAAATTTCGAATTTTAAAGATCATAGGAGCTAACATTTTCGCGACCGTGTGTGAAGAACCGTAAAGTCGCGGTCACCGATCCAAGTTTTAATCATACTCAATGTTGCCTAACTTTGATGATTGGTCGGGTCAGCGGTGATCCTTTGACTCTGACACTTTCTTCTTGCAATACGTGTGATATACATGTACATACATACATGTACATACATATTATGTATATTATATGCATATGTATGTATATGAGTTACACATATTATGTATATACATTAGGGTGGAGCGCTTTGTGTAGAGAAAAAAATTTTTTAATTTTACAACGCCCGTAGGTTTAAACAAATTTGCATCGCTTCCACCCACGGGCGTTGTAGAATTAAAAAATTTTTTGAATGCTCCACCCTAATATACATGACATCTTTATTTCATGTTTATTTCATATGTGTATATACATTGTATATACACTGTATATCAAAATGTTTTGTGGGAATTGACAAATTCTATTTACAAAAATTTAGAAGAAAAAAAGAAAAAATATATTTTTATGGTGGTGTTGTATCATATTACTTCTTATGTGAGAGATCCGAAGTGGACCTTGTCTTCAATACTGAAAAAAGTGTAATACGAGTGGATTTAGTTTTATCGAGACTTGATTTCTTTTGAAACTTAAATGAGAATTTATTTACAACAGAACACTATTATGATACATTTTCTTTTAAAACACTATTTCTTTTAAAACACTATGATTGTACGAAAATGATCTTTCAGATATTGCAGAGGTTGTAGAAAATAGATATTTCTGTTCTATTTTAAATACTAGGAAATAAATCTTTGTGGTGCAATAGCAGCGTACCTAAACTGTGGCCAATTCGGAACTTCGCGATGTACTTTTAAAATTAAACTTATCAGTCATTTGAAGAGATAAATTTAGATTAAAACAGAAAATCTAGATGAGTCTGTGAAAACTCATCATTAGTCATTTCTTCAGCAGAAGGATTTTCTATAACTAATTTTTTAACATAGGACAACATTTATAACTATTTTCTTATATACTCATCATTGTTTTTCATTTTTTAATCTTTTTTTATGGCTATGCTAATTTTAATCTAAAGTTAGCACAGCCACTATTTTCTCCGAATCGGCTGGAGCAACAAAATCAGGAATTGAGCAACAAATTAGCAACGAAAGAACACTAAATTTCTGTGTAAGTTTTTTCAATTGTGCTGAAATGGCTGTGTCAGCTTAATAGACATAATCATATTAAAATAGTTAGGTACCTCTGGCATTAGTATTACTTAAAATAATAACTAACTTATGTCAGAATGGATATCTCTGTTGGGTTTATAATTGAAAGTAACTGTGGTTTGTGTTAGAAAAGATGTTACTGGCATTTAGCCCATATCAAAATAGACGCTTCTGACATTCATATTATTATACTAAAAATAGTCAACCTTGTTAGAGTAGATGCTTCTAGTATTTAAGTTATTGGCTACGTTAAGCAGAAAAAGCTGCTTTGCAACTGTCGTAAAATTTGTGAGTCTGATTGAAGTACGCTCTTAGATTCGGCCAAGATTTAGACTAATTTAGAGCATACATCAATCAGGTTCACTAGTTTTACAATAGTTGCAAAGCAGTTTTCTTTGCTGAACGTAGCCATTGAAAGAAATTAGCACACGAAAATTATTTCTATCATTTAAATTGTAATAAGTAAAAGAGAAACGATATGAATTAATTAGAAAAGATGCCATTTTACAATTAGTTGGAATGATCTAGGTGGCCTGATAATAATATTTCTGTGTGAATTTTGTATATTTTTTAAAGTAATTTAATTAGTAAACTGTGCATCAGTTATTTATCAGTCTTGAAACATTGAAGCTTTTGTTGGAACAATAAATTTACGCTAATCAATTAACTTTAGTTGCTAATCAACATCTAAAGATGCTATGTCTTTTAAAATCAATGTGAAAATTTATTGCGTAAAGTATTACCTGCCAGAGTGTAAACCTGGACCTTCTTACAATCTGAATGAGCGTCTTTACCAATTCGATCACTGAAGCATGCGATGATGATTGATTAAATATGTAGATTTACCATTCCTCCAGAAAGCTGTGTTTTAACACCAATTAATGTTCGACGTGCAGTTTGCTAATTATGTGAGTTGGAAAAAGTGTATGGATTTCGTAAAATTATGAGTTTCTTAAGGTTGGAGACGATATATCTATCAATTGTTCAATTCTGACCTCGGATTCAGATTCAGCGGGTCAAAATACATAAAAATACCTTGTCTGGTCTTAGGCCTAGACAACTTTTTTGTGGGGCTGTGTAATGAATAAATTTCACAAAATTTGTTTAAATTTTTAAATTTATAATATTTAAATTTATTGTAATATTTTTATTACAGGGGCAAACTGGTGATGTAGGAGTAGGCAGCGAAGAACAGAATACGGCGTTTGTATGTATTTCTGGTGAGTAACTTAATTTTTATGTACAAATTTTGATGTTATGGAATAATTATTTTTTGAGTTATATACATCATGTAACAGGCGATTTTTGACATTGAAACTAATAAAATATTTTAATGACATTAAATGACATTAAAAATTCGATAATTGCAATCATTAGTTAGTAAATGTCTTATAACAATAGAATTGGAATATTAAGGTGTAGAGATAACTGTAGAGAAATAAAATAATTTATTATATTTAAATTTTGATACATACCCAGACAGCACACATGTCTAAAAGACGTCATAAAGATATCTTTTTGACGTCTTTTAGACATGTGTGTTGTCTGGATAATTAACGTGTTTGTGAAAAAATTTCTTTTCACCTAACAAAGAATCAAGAGACACGGTAGTGTCTCTTGATAAAGATCATAATTAATTAAATGCAACCCATCTAGAGATGTTATTCGAGATGCAATATGTTTGATTACAGCTAAATATAGATATTTTACCTATATCTATGAGCATTTTATAAGATTGAGTCTTGATTTTTATAAATGGTGATGTTATGACTCAAGAACAAACAAAATTGTTTTGTAATATATGCTGTATACTCTAATTACATATTCTTTCTCCATTACCTGAAAATTTGACGCTTTTTCAATTGAAAACTTGAAACCAGATGGTAAAAGAAGTTTGAGTTTTTCTTTACAAGTAGATTAACTCCTCTGATTCTTAATTATAATTAGCTACTACACAATTGACACATCTAGCATTTTACAGTGATCAACACATGATAAATGTCTTCGGCTTTTAATTAATATTTGTTAGCACACGACTAACGCCTTTAACATTTCACAGTAACCAACAAACATTTAACAATTCTGACATTAACTACTAAAAAAATAGCATATACGTACAGTTTTAATTAAACGTATATGAATAAAAAAAGGATCGCGTTCTTACTAAAGACTTTTCTCCGGATTATCTGTAAAGGTTTTATTGGAAATAATTTATACATTTAATTGCTGCAAAAGTGTTAATATATCATAACCAAATATTTTAAAAGGTACGAAAGTAATATGAAAGTTAATATAATACATATAAATGGTAATCCTCTCACAACTTTGTATCATGTGTTATATTACAATTATTTTTATATATAAATCTTATTAATATGTGACAATGTTTTTAGTAATTTAAATTGAAAAAACTATATAATGTGTATGTGCGTGCGTACGTGTGTGCGTGTGCATGCGCGCGCAAGAGTAACGAGATTAGGATTATAATTAAGATTGCATATTTCAGTGGTTTAGCAGCGCAAAGCTTTTTAAATAAACAATAATGTTTACAAGGAAATTAGAGATGGCCATTTTTAAACAAAATATTTCTTTTGTATTAATAAGCATTTTTAAATTAGGTATTCTATCTCCTTTATTTTTCCTTTAAAATCCTCTGTTCGATTTTTTGGATATAATATTTAAACATCGAAAGTAGAGGAAAGTCCACTATTATAAGATAGGAGTCTAATATGAGATAGTAGGTTTTCAACATCCAAATTCAATAATAGAGCTTTTTGCACAATAATTACACGATCTAACAATCAATTTTCCACTAAACCGATTTCACTCCAAGGGCAATAAATTCATGAATTCATGGTAGAACCAACAGATGATGCTTATTAATTTAGCAGAACCTGCGCTGTCTCATATTAGGAACCTATGTCGTAATAGGGAATTGTCCTCTAATAATAAAGTAACTAGTTTGTGTAAGTATCCATTGTTGTAGACGGCGCAATTTGTTAATATCATTACTTTTACAGAGAAGATGTTTTTGTAGAGAAGATGGAAATATCTTTTTTCTAACAAAATAATTAAATCCTACAAATCTTTTTCGATTGACACATACTTTACATCTTTTTTACCTTTTGTTTTAATTATTGCGACTCACATTGCTGCCAAATTTCAAAACGTAGCCAAAACCTTAAAAATAAACTTACATTTTAGTAATTTTGAACCTTGAGTTGGGTAGACTGATATCTTGACCTTTCAAAAACAAAAGAGAAAAGGGTAAACTCTTTATACATAAAGGATTATGTCCAGTTTCATATGAAAAATTGGGCCCTCAGTGAACAGCAACGAGACATAGCTAGATTTGCAAGGCATCAAAAGAGAATTAAAAAGTTCATGACAACTTTGTAATAAGTCCTCTGAAAGCTTCAGCTGTCGAAAGTTCGCGATTATGACCAGCCAGAAAACATTTTACGTGCAAATATCTAGCATTATGACGCACTTGGATAGGATTTTGCTTGCGTTGTTGAGCTATTTTTGTACGGGAGTTGTTAGATATTTGCGCGCAAAATTATACGTTAATACACTTGCGTGAAAAAGCACAGACTGAACATATCTTACGGGCAAATCTCGTAAAAGTTTGCATACATAAGACAAGCAAAATTTGCAAGAATTGTGTCTACGAAATATGTTCCTTTTTTGGTTTAACGATATCTGCTGTATCTTTCCCTACTAGTTATTTTATTAAGTAAAAGAGCGGTGCGAAAATTTAAAGAAAGGGAAACCGGAAAGGCTCTTAAAATGATAAAAGGCAATTGTAGAGGGCGAAAGGGAGCGTCGCGCGCAAGTTTTAATGTTTGCTTGGCGGCGAAAGCAAGCGGTATGCCGTTACGAGATAAAAACGCGTGTGCAATAAAATCGTTTCACAAAAGTGACCGTGTCCACTCTTTTTCCTATTAATACGTGCTTAGCACCGGTCCTCACTTGAGGACACCAGTAACAAATTGTTATCTGTGTTAAGTATACAATAATATATTATTATTTTTTAAACATAATTACTAACAATGTTTTAAACATGTACGTGTACACATTTGTAACTTATTATTTATAAATTTTAAGGTAAAATGCAATTCAATCCAAGAAATGTCATTATGCTGCTGTTTACCGCCACTACTTTTAATTTGTCACAAACTCCTATTACAAATGAAGAAACCGAAGTAAAAGAGAAAATAGACAACGTGTTACAACACATGTATGGGGACAAATTTGGAATAGAAGAAGAACCTCTTGATTTTCAAAATTCTTTTGATATACAACAAGCAGATTTGGTAATAGGCGATGATGTTAATTGTTGATCGAATTGGTTGAGACGCCCATCTAGTAAGAGGGAGGTTCAAACCCTGGCTGAGGTAATATTTTTCGCAATAAATTTGAAAATATGAAGTATTTATAAGACACTAACACTCTGTCACGGCTCTTAGTCCTTTATTTCTCGAAATATTTTTGTTATATCTCTCACAATTAGAGCTAATAATGTTCCAAAACATTCCTTTGAGCTCTGTAATGTATAATAATGACAAAAATACTGAACGTACAAAACTTATAACACATGTTAGGTAATTATTGCAGTATGTAATCATCATTAGTTGACAAGTAACATCAATATGTTATTTCATATGTTTCCTCATGTCTATGTTAACTTGACCTCACGGTATGTATCATCATGATATGATTACAAAACGTGCATCTTATTTCACTCAATATCAGAAGATCATGACATGATAAAGTCTGATCATTAGGCATTGCTATCTGGAAACTACTCCATGGGTAGTTGTATAGGCTAAAGAGAGAGAGAAGGGAGGCAGAGAAAGTAAGCAAGAGCGGAAGAGGGAGAAAGAAGGAGAGAGAAAAGAAAAAGAGGGAGAGGGAGGAGAGAGAGAGAGAGAGAGAGAGAGAGAGAGAGAGAGAGAGAGAGAGAGAGAGAGAGAGAGAGAGAGAGTTTGGCCAGTGTAGTAGAGGATTAAGATTTCAAAAAGTCATTTATTGTATATGTCATACTGAAAAAAACGTTTTTATTTTACAGATAGCAATTTATTTCATAATTCTGGTGCGTCGACTACATTATTGGAAGTCCATGATGAATCATCTGCGACAGAAGCATTCAGGCGTTTATCGGACGCGGAACAAATTTTGATGGAGAATCTAGATATCGATCAATACAGACCCAGACATATCGGTCGATTTCTGACAATGCACAGGAGACGGCGTAAGAAGCTTGTTACCAGATCCTTGATTCAGGAACCAGGTATCTTGGACGACATCTTCCACGGATTAGTGCAGGTAATCTATATAAAAAGTAAAGACAAGAATAAAGATTTATTGTCCCTAGTATAATACATAATTAATCAATTAGTATTGCGAGTTGCGTGTACAGAGAATATGCTGTATACACAAAATTTACATACACAAAAATTTTCAATAATTGGAGCACTATTGCAACAGCATATTCCTGAGACCAAATCAAGTCCAAAAGTCCTGTACTATTTTTCCCTCCGACAAACAGTTATCGAGATATCATAAGCTAAACATTGACAAAGTTATAAATTTTCTCTTGAATATCTCAAAAAGTATTAGGTAAATAAAAAATGTTTCTGACAAAAGTTGTTGATATTAATTAGTAGAATAAGATAGTATATTAAACAATAGGGGGTTCCATTTAAAAAATTGAATGGCACTATCTAATGTCCCCCTCGAAACCTAACAACTTTTGTCTGAGGCATTTTCCGCTATCACCCCTACCTGAGGAGATATTACCGTGTACGGATTAAAATGGCCCACCCTGTATACTTCATACTTTCTACTAATAATATTTCATTAATCTCATGTTATCATATTCGGGCTATATGTTACAGTGCGTGTTACAAAGAGCTGGAAACTGGAGGTTTAATGCTTTCACGTTGGAAACTGTCACAGGTGGTAAGTATATTTCAAGTTGGAGTAATTCTATTTGCCTACAAAATGATTGCCAACAGCACAGTTATGCTTATTGCCCACAAAACATATTATACAGGATGTACCAAATTTTGTACTTGTTATTGGCAGATTTTTGTGATCATTTTGAGACAAAAATGCTAATACCAAAACGTTGAGATTATAATAGTTTTTAAATAAGAACTGTTCAAAGTCGAGTAATCCATTTATCCGAAATTTGCGCGCTCAGGCATGTCACATTGCACAGTAGTGATGCTACTTTTAAGCACATCAATTCTATTCTCAAAATTAAATATAATTTTGTATACATTTTATCTACGTGTTGAAAACACCGACACTACTGTGCAATGTTACATGCCTGAGTGCTCGAATTTCGAACAAATTGATTTGTGAACTTTGAACAGTTTTCATTTAAAAACTATTATATTCTCGACGTTTTGGTATTAGAATTTTTGTCTCACAATGGTGTCAAGAAACTGCTAATAACAAGTGTCACGTCAGATCTGGTACACCCTGTACACATGGTTATAGTACACTCATAAAATAGCAAAACCATAGTAATGTTTCATACACGTATTATTACACAGCCCCACAAATTACAAGCCAAATTAGAGTATTAAATTAAACTAAAGGAACATTTTCAAATATTATACAAAATGTTTCAACTTTTATTTAGTTGTTTTCAACACTGTTGTTGAAGAGAACGTAGATTAAAAAATTAATTAATTTAGGAAGAGCTAGTCGATAAGTAGTAATAAAACATTATTATAAAAATTAATTAAAACATTACGAATAAAAAGTAATAAATTAGTGAGTAAAGATCAAATGGTTTATATGAGAAAACGCCAATGTGGGTCACAAGATGTTGGTAGTCCAACTTGTAAATCTTGGAATATGAAATAGGCAATAGGAACAGAATTTCCGACGCGTTGGATTTCTGTTCCCTATTTCCTGTGCCTGACCTACCTGACCAATCACAGTTGAGACTGGGGCAGGCACGTGGTTTCAAAATGCAGATGATTGGACAGCACTCCTATTGCCAACGAATCATTATGTCTTGGCATTACATAGGTTTCTATTCCGTATTTTTATTCCGTATTTCTAATGCCTGTGCTTTCCTATTGTGTGATAGGCTTTAAGCAATAGGAAAATTAAATATTAAATATTAATTGAAAAAATGAAGTATTAACTTTTGGTCATACAACTTTATATAATAGTTTGCTGACAAGAAGTTTAGAATTTTAGTAATATTTTAATATTTTAAATATTTAAATATTAGGATAAAAGAAAAATACTATAGTTTAGTACCCACTATTTTCGATTCCAATAATAATTCTAATAACAACAATTTTATATGATATTGTTAAATACTAATCAAATATTTGTAAAAGTTTTTATATTACAATTTACTCAAAATATTTAATTAAAAGTATTAATGGATGTAATTTGAATAAACATAATACATAGATTCAAGAAACATTCAGGGGGTAAACGGAATTATTAGTACATCTATATTTGTCATACGTAATGTTATATTATATTTAATTTGCAGGTCGTTCTTTACCAGTGTTATGTGTTCATCTCTTCCATTGGTATGGACTTTTCCAATATTTCAACTTGGATGTTGTAACAGTGTGGAAGCTATTCGGTAAGCATACACTTTTAAACTTTTAAAATCGACGATACTATTTTAATATATAGGGTGTTTCCGGGTTAAATAGCCAAATTTAAAATATGAATTAGGACCTCAAAACAAACAAATATTTTATCTTGAAGATTGCCCGCAAACGCTTCCTTGAAAAGATATTGACTTTTGAAGTTTTGAACAATAGGAATGAATAATTCCAGATAAAAGATTTGTTTGTTTTGAGGTCCTAATTCATATTTTAAATTTGGCTATTTAACCCGGAAACATCCTGTATAATAATTTTCTTTTAACTTTTATATCAATTAAATCAAAAGTAGATATACAATGGATATAAAATTTATAAAAGTATTGTATTTGTAATCAACATGAAATCATAAATGTTTTTTATTATCACATATTTTCGTACTTTACAATCGATTTTTCCAATGGTTTTACATTTTATTAACAAATAAAAACACTTTTTAACCAACTTGAAGTATTTTTGTACTCATGTAGATGCAAATAGAATATAGTATATTTGATATTCCATATGTTAAAAAGTTAAATAATATTCATATATGAATAAAATACAAAATAAATATCTGTTTATCAAATGTAAAATATTCAAAGAAAATATTCAAAATAACGCGCGCGCGCTTATCCTGTGTGCACATACAGGACCGGTAAAAAGATATATTTAGATATAATTGTATGTAATAATATCAATTACATATAATTATACAGAGTGAACCCTAAAGACCGTTCCAACCTTTTACCATAATAGCTGGATTATCGACTGTAATTCTGATTAACTGAACGATATAGGAATTTCTCCTCCATTCTACCTTTGCCTTTACGACGATCTCTTGATCGAGATCGAGAGCACTTTCTTTCCTTTTTATTCGACATGAGTAAAAACGTCTTAGTTGATATCAAACTACTAATTATTGTACGAAAGTTATACTCGAGGTGTATATGAAGTTTAACACAACGAACAAGATGACAAAAGAAGACGCAGCGACTCCAGCTAAGGCACCATGTGTCAATTTCAGTCAGTTCATACTCTAAAATGTTGTGAAGTTTAGCAATAACAGGTATTACCACCAATTATCATCGAGAACGAGACGTGTAACATAATCGTAGTTTCTTTGAGAGAAAACATAAGAGAGGAGAAAGGGTGGAGGAAGAGAGATTTGTATTATTTTTATTATGTCCGATTCTCCCCTAAAAAGATAGGAGAGAGGCATGAAATTAGAATAAAATGTAACTGTATAAAAAGATCGGAGAAATAGAATAAAATAACAAGAAAAAGCAAATAAAAATGTTTGAAAAAATTATGAATATCGTAGCCGAATAATTTATGTAATTATTTAATTGAAGCTTTTATCGAGGAGGGTTATCACAGTACAAATCCTTACCACAACAGCATACATGCCACGGACGTCACTCAGGCAATGCATTGCTTCCTTCAAGAAAAAAAAGTAACTATGTATTTCTTTTGCAGCCAGACATATAGAGAATTGTATAATTTTCATTTATTCAGATGGCATGTGATATATTTTTATTTTCTCAGCAAAATAAAATGACCGTGTTATAAATTTGCAGATTAAAACGTACCTCACGAATTTAGAAATTATGGCTTCCTTGATAGCGGCTGTAACGCATGACTTAGATCATCCAGGTGTCAATCAACCATTTTTGGTCGCAACGAGTAATCATTTGGCAGCACTTTATCAGGTAGGAACATCTCTATTAACTTATTAAATAAATAAAAATCTGAAAAGAATAATCAAATTTTCGTTATATTATGAGAATTTTGTTATTCATTTGGATGTATTTTGTTGTATTTTTGAATGCAAAAATGATAAAAACTTACGAAAAGACGTTAACATTGACGTCCAGAATAGATAAATTATATATATGTATACAGGGTGTCAGACTGGTTAGTAGCCCTGTATAAACAATAAATTTTTAGAAATGTAATTCACAATTTAGAAATTGAGATATGTTAGGTTATAAATAAAAAATTAACAATTTTCAGAATACTTCTGTTCTCGAAAATCATCACTGGAGATCAGCTATAGGATGTCTTTTAGAAAGTGGTGTATCGGCACAATTACCTACTGACGTAAGACCAGAGCTTCAACGGCACATCAGTTCATTGATCTTAGCGACAGATATTACAAGACAACAAGAATTTCTCACATGTTTTAGGGTATACTTCATTACATTAATTTCTGTCTTTTAATTATCTAAATTCTTAATTGATGATCATGTTTCTTTATCTCTTATGTTGCAGGATTATCTGAACAACAATTCACTTGAAATGAAACATGCAGAACATCGTCACTTTATTCTGCAAATTGCTCTAAAATGTGCAGATATTTCTAATCCATGTAGACCATGGGATATATCTAGAAAATGGTCTTACAAAGTTTGTGAAGAATTCTTCAGGCAGGGCGATTACGAGCGTCGTTTAAATCTTCCAGTAACACCATTATGCGATCGACATACCACTAGTATCCCGAAAATACAAGCTGGTTTTTTCAAACACGTCGTTACTCCTCTCTATATGGAATGGCATCGTTTCCTTGGCGATGGTCTCAGTGTGTCTTTAATGGAATATTTAAAAAAGAATCAGAGAAAATGGGAGGCATTGATCAATCAAGAAACATCTGACGAAAGAGAAACTGAGATTTCTGAAGTGGTTGAACCCGAAGGCATCATTAGTTCGTGTGAAGAAACGGTCGTTGATGAAGATTCAAGTAGCATCGATCTGTTAATACCGGCCACTTACTTGCAAACAGCACGAATGCCGACATTGCCAGGACGAGTTGGACTTGATAGCATTGGTAGACGTCACTCCGTTCCTCTAAGTGTGTCGAAATCATTGCATTTGCCTATAAACCAGACCAATAGAAGAGAAAGTTTGCCAAGCGAGAAGGTTAAAGTAAAAGATCCATTTTGGAAAATAGAAGATCAAAGTTTATTAGATCCGAGCTCGTTGTCTCTACTGTCTTCCAAAAGTAATATGACTGAGTCACCAAATATTAGCGTTGTCGAGAGACCAGTCAGCGCAGAAAATCTCTTACCAGAAACAAGTATTGCCAGTATTACCAGTAGCGCCGAGGCATCAAAATTAAACACAGTTCTGCAATTGGATAACCAATATAACTCGCAAACTAAACAACTTACACGACAACAGACTTTTCCTCCATTGCAATCACATGTTAGAATGAGATACATGTCTGCAACTGTAGAAATGTCGCAGTGTTTCCCTCCGACTTTGATGGAAGCTGACAATTCCTCTAGTTGCTTGAAGGAAAAATCATGTTCAAGCAGTCGACACAGTTCACCATCGCACAATCTTACTTCATGTCCTGAAAAACAATCTAACATATCGATTGCTCTTTCTAAAGAATTACTGATGATGGATACATCTGTAAAAAAACAAGGTTCAACTTCACTTGATAAAACAAGACAAAAACATGCTATTAATTCAGCGCGTCGCCATTCTATGCAGACTGTTCGTACCGATGATTCTTTTTCTAAACATAGGTGTAAAAGGCCTTCTTCCGCTCAAGATCCAGATTACACAGAGATGTTTTATGCTACATTAACGGGTTCTCACAATGACAAAAACAAATGCATTCCTGACATGTGTATTACGGAATGTAAATCGAATTTAGATTGTAATATTGAAGTTAAATATTGTGGTGCAAAATTAACAGTTCAAGACTTGCAAACTACATTATTGTCCAAAAAATTAGACCAATATACTTCATCGGCTAAGAGCTCATATTCTGCACAAGAGCCGCGAAGATATTCAACTTCTATCACAGAATGTAAAACATTAACGGTTGACCATGCAGGTAGACGATATACCACAATACCGGTGTCTTCTGAGCTTAACACTCATAAAGTGTTCTTTATTGGTAGTCCTCCTGATTCGCCACCTCCTAATCATAGTGTGTCTTCATCGAGTGACAGTAGTAATGAGCCAAAAAGAAGTATCGATGATTCGAATAGAGAAGATAGTGTTCTCACTGGTAATAGAAAGGAATTGGATTATATGAAAGAAAAAAAATTGAAAATTACAAAGTTCAATTCCGATGTGCAAATGAAGGAAAATGTTGATCCTCGTACAAATGACGACTTCGCAAAAGCATTATCTCGTAGAGGCAATCAGGTAAGCTGGAAATAATTTATTTTTAAAGCTAACTTTTTATTGTAATTATGTTAGATTATAATATGAATGCATAAATGATGATTCTTCAAATATGTGACAAAACAAGCTATCTCTACATATAATAAAAAGAATATTTAAATAAATTCTTTTATACTAATATATTATAATGTAATGTGATTGCGAAAAGAAATAAGAAATCTTTATTTTGAAACATTAAGTTTATGATTATTATTATACAATTTATATTGTCCTAATACATATAAAATTATCTCAATATTTTACGTAAAAATGACTTTAAACACGTTGTAAATATAATAAATTTTATTTTAAGTTTTAAAACACCAAAAACAATCTCAAGTATTATGTTAATAAACTACAGAAACTTGAAGACAATTGCACTTAATGTTAATAAACTACAGAAACTTGAAGACAATTGCACTTGACTAGTTCAAAATTGACCAGTGCAATGTTGTAGTGGCAGCATTAAAAACTCGAAAATTATATATTGTTAAATATTTTTGTAATATATTTTTTACAACTTTTTGTTAATATAACAGATTGATTATCTCCAATGAGTTATAAAGACTTCTACTTATAACCGTATATACAAAGTGTTCAACATAAAGTATCCATCCATTTATGTACAAGTGGATCTCGTCAAAATGAATTTTAAAAACCTATACCATCGCAAAACCATGTAATTTAATAAATATTTAGATATTACTAAGAGAACATTTATGAGTCAGTGGAGTACGGTATAATTGAACAAGCCTTGTAGGCGACAGTGACAGTGGAAGGCGAAGCGTTGCATATAAATTTAACCTTTTTTAATAAAAAAGGTTTAAAAAAAGATGCCAAGTATAAGCGTCATCCAATCAAGAATTATATTATTTAATTATTTGGATATTTAAAAAAAACATATTTATCTTCTCTTCCCCCCCCCCCCCAAGTATCTTTTCTACAAAAGTAATGATATCATCAAATGGCGCCAACTAAACTGAATATTTATACTGATGGTGTGGGACGTGGTTAGAAAGGTGTGCGAACAGATACGGGTATTAAAGGTTTGAACAATCTTGTATATTTCTATGGGTGAATTACAAGCACAGGCTATTACGCGCAAAAGTATATGGAGAGCAAAAGCGCGGGAGACAGAGTATATAAATAAACCTAGAGGAGGGAGTTTAGTACCGCATCGTAGCGCCAGAAGGGAGAGGCTCACTTGGACACAGTATAAGTGGACACCGTGTAAATGTTCATGGAATATTGCACACGGTTCATTTGGACACAGAAAGTTTAGACACATAAAAGTTGCACACCGTAAAGTTGAACACGGCGCAAATGGACACCGTTTTTTTGAAAAGTTGCAGACCATAATGTTGAATACGGTATAAGTGGACACGAGGCAGGTGTCCAACATTATAGTTCACAACTTTTCAAAAGAACGGTATCCATTTGCACCGTGTCCACTTGTACACTTGTGCAACTTTATAATGTGCAACTTTTATGTGTCCCAAATTCCTGTGTCCCAATGAACCGTGTGCAATATTCCGTGTCTATTTGCACCGTGTCCACTTGCACAGTGTCCACTTGTACTGTGTCCAAGTGAAGGCCACTCGGCGCGAGACACTACCATGTCTCATAATAGACCACGTTATTATTGAACGCATAAGCTATCTTCTCTTTGAGTACCGTAATAATGCCGTTCATTTTGTTGAAACCATAAAAATTTATATTTTTGTTAATATGTGAGCCAAGACTTTTGAAACTTTCAGAGGTGTCGTGTATATAGGGGATCGACTGGAAACTTTTGTCTTTATGTTTGTCTTTTTTAATGGTATGGGAAGATGTTTGTCCACATATAAGCTAGTTTAGTAGATTAGTCAATGTTTCGAAGATGAAATTAACAGGATAACAATTCTTTAAAAGTAGAAGGATAATTAAAATCAAATTTTTATGGTGGAATCTCGGGTGGGATAATAATAGAAAATGTATGTATGAAAAATATAACTGCGTGACGTATCATTATATAACAAATAAATACTAGTAATATAGTAGTAAATAAGTCTTAAATTAAACGTTGTAATTAGTGAAAAGTATTAAGTTAAAACAGTTTAGTATTGTTGTAGTTTTTATAACGATGTGACTGTTGATCAATTTTAAACTTTAAAATATTTAAAAAGTATTATAGTTTTGACATTTTGGTAAGAACTTTTTCTCAAACTCAAAAATCCGTATTTAAAAGTTAAATATGTTAGAAACATATATTTTAATATAAATAATGACCAAACTAATTGCCATGTTTTCTTTCTCTTTCTATTTAAATTTTAGTGGTCATATAGTTTTATTGATGTTTCTTACCATATTGAATTCAGGGATGGGCAAAAAGACGTGGATCAGCCCCAGTTGATCTTCTATCGAGACTGCATGATATTATTTCAACGAGCACGGTTCCTGCCAAAGTTGATCATAGCTGTAGACGTGGATCAGTACCGACTGATATTACTAAACATCAAGGTATCAGTACACATTTAAATTCTTGCATTTAATGTTTGGGTCATTGTCTTCGTTGCATATACAGTAGTCATTAAGATATTTATGAATTCGTTGTCAAATTTTGTTTTCTCTCTTTGTATTATTTTTTCGTAGTGGCAAGCAAGCCTTATTACCATAGTTTAGCCTTCCATTAGTAAGTATGTATGTATGTATGTATTAGTATGTATGTTCTGGATTTTAAATATATATCAAATAAAGTTTTTGGACTAGCTAAACTAAAATAAATGTAACCTTAAATCTATGATAAAATTGTTATTATCATAATACGGTATCAATATATTTTAAATAGAAAAATTTAGTAACTTTTTGGTATTTACAAAAAATGCCATCTTACAGACAGTACAGTATTGAAAAGAAATAGTAAAATTAATAAACATTAATAATAAATAAAGTATCAATTGTATTTTATTTATTTTTAAATTTATATTTTTGTTTAAAGAAATAAAATGTACAATCTTTATTTGTGTATATACTGAACCACTTTTTGTGAAAATACTCTCCTTTATATAGGTGGGAATTGTAACCGGTTAACTCTAGGATATCGAGGAGACAATTTTTCGGATCTACGAAGAGCTAGTCTTCCGCAAGAGATTACATTGGAAAATCTTTTGGAAAATGTTCTTACTTTAACTGGTAAGTATATTTTCATAGTATCATGAAACGGAAAAGTTAATTTTATATTAATTTTTTTAGGCGAGCGTGAAAACATTTCAATAAACAACAACAATAATAATAATAATAACAGCAATCGCAGCAACAATAATGGCATTAGTAAATTTGATAGTACGATATCCGGAATTCTTTCTCCGAGACGAGGATCAATACCAGCAGACATATCCGAATTACGTCGCGACCTATTTAATAGAAATAATGTAAATAACAAACCGCGAAATCGTAAAAAGATTTTAAAAAGACGGAGCAGTGGCGGCCCAGAACTGTTCATCGGTGGATCTATCGACGGAAACGATAATGGTACGTGGCTCAGGTGGAAAAGAGAAATAGGAAAGCGCAATCCTGTCCCCGAAGAGTGGCCTTCACTTGGACACAGTGCAACTTTTATGTGTCCAAATGAACTGTGTGCAATATTCCGTGTCCATTGCACCGTGTCCACTTGTACTGTGTCCAAGTGAGTCCCTCCCGGCGGCCAATAGGCGGGTGGACGCATCTCACCACGCGCTTACATTTGCCAGTAGGTCGGGCTAATACGGAGATTTTTGAACATCAATATCTGGATAACTATCCCTCCAAATGCAAAATGGTAGAGGACTTTTCTGTTTGTCTTAGTTCCCTCTACTTTCCCGTGAACGCCGGTCAAAACGTTGCGGAGTACCCTGCATATATTAATATTTATTTATTCTGTTACACTTACAAGGGAACGGCCGGAAGTGTCCCTCACCGATTTCGATGCGCTTCGGATATGTTGTAGAGCACAAAAAATATTAGATCCGTATTTTTTTAGCGGCTTTTTTCGATGTTTAGAGGATGAAACAGCCCCTCGAAAATGACGGAGTTTTTCATTTTTATGAATATCTTCGAAAATATATGGTGCATGAAAAAATGTTCGAGATAAACGTTTTATTGTTTTTCATAATCTTCACAATGGCGTAATCACATTTTTTATATGTCAAATTTTTTAATTTAACCACACCACACTATTATTTTTTTTATTTTATTGTTTTATGTTATTATTTTCTAATGTAATCATAATTTAATTTTTTATTGTATAATTAAATTAAATTTGGAAATGTGTTTTTTAGATCTACACCAAACACACTATCAACAAGCAAAGATCTATTTGAGAATATAACATAATTTTTTACATTGTGTACCATTATTATACATATATATTTTTCTAATGCATCTGACATAATACAAATTGTATTCTTCTTGTTTACCTATTTGTTTTCGTTCAAATAATAACAGAATTTATTAAACAAGTTTTATTTTATTCGTAATAAATCATGAGAACAGAATCTTATTTTTAAATTATATAAAATTTCTTATTGTTTGCTAGGATCGACATCAGCACCACGTAGGTCTAGCCTGTGGCGGTTTTAGTATACTAGGTAAAAAAAGGACTGTCCACGCTACCAGCAAAACGTCGAATTACGGCACAGTCTTTCCTGGAATTACCAGCAGTAACTTCAGCGACGAGTAATCACTAATTTTTTAAATTGTCAATATTTGAGACATTTTTCTCAATCATAAATATAAACAAACGAATATTGTAATAATATCTTTAATTATTTTAAATACTGTTATAAGGACGATTAATCAATTTGTACTTGAATCGCGCAAATTTGGTTGATGTTAATATGATTGTGATGCCCTATATGTTCTTGCGCTAGACAAATCGAAATTAGTTGAAAGATTTTAATTGTTAATCGAAATGTTGTAAATTTATGTTATACCCAGATAGCCAAATGCTATAAGTTTGTTGACATGTTGCCAAAACCCTCGAAACAACTAATTGTAACAAACTCGGAACAAGGTGAGTCAGCATTACGTCTGCTAAGTTGAACTCGTATGAATTATAATTCCAATAACGACAAATTGTTTGCAATCAGCATCATAATGCTTAAGATGTCAGCATCATAATGCTTAAGATGGAACGATGAATCATTCATTGCTATCATATTGCTGATATGTTGCGGACATCATAACGTATTAGATATTGCGGACCGCTTGTTCTTGAACTTTTGTCAAATGATTGCATGTATAAGTAGTCATGTTGCTGCATTCGGAATGTATTTATTTCGATGTTAGCAAATGTACAGCAAATACGTAACAATATATGCAATGCATTAGTTCGCTCAATATGCAATACCATACTTGGCTATCTGTGGGTATATGTATAAATACATTATTGAATATTGACAAGAAATGTTAGATCAAATAATTTAGCAAAGAACAAGAAAAAAATACAAAAGGGAGAGAGAGAGAGAGGGAGAGAGAGAGAGAGAGCAAGAGCAAAAGCGAGAGCGAGAGAGAGAGAGAGAGAGGGAGGGTGGGAGAAAGGATGAAGTGAGTAAATATACACATCTTAATATATAGGACATATCTTAGGAGTAAATTTAACATAGAAAAATAAAAAACTCAGAAATAATTTACTTTTTTTTGTTTCCGAGATGTAATTATATTCAAGTTTAAATATGCTTACCCTTAGAGATACTTAACACGAGCACTTGCTTCTCCATTCATAAATTTCAGATTTTTTCAAAGTTTTTATTATCGTTAAGAAAGAATACAATCCCAGACAGCACAGTGACATTTAAAAAGTGTATTAAAAATATACATATTGTATCTTTTGTATACATTTAAAACTTTCACTTTAAAGCCTCAAGTATCTTTAGAATTACTGTCCTGGACATCTGACTAATATCCATTTTAAAGATAAAAAATACACTAAAACTATATAATACCTAGCACTATAAGAAACATTAGAAAACTACAATCAACGTACTCCTCACCATAAATTCTAGAATTATTATAATAACTCATTTAATAGATACAAAATGATCAATAGTGTAAAACGTAAAATTATTTATAAAATGATAAATATTGAAAATTATAATTACTAACAAATCAAGATAAATTATATTGTAGGCACTTTTTTTATTACTACAAAAAATCTCTAAACTAATACAAATTTAGAAGTACAAATGTTTCTATGCTAACAATTGCTTTTTATGCACTTTTAATATTTTTTCAATTAAATTTTTAATTAAAACTGTGAGATTATTGTCAACCCAACTGGCAAATTTTATTGAATTCGTTACAACGTTTCGACCTTACTTCAGGTCCTTTTCGAGTAACACTATTATAAATCAACAAGATATAAGAGCTTTATTAAATATCGAAACGTAACAAATTCAATAAAATTTGCCAGTTAGATTGACAATGAGCTCACAGTTTTAATTTTTAATCATTACTAGCGACTATAAGCGACATTCTTTTCGTAAATTTTTAATGTTTAATTGTTAATTTTAAATGTTCTTCATATAGACATAGTTAGAACAGACCGAGCATGAGACCTGAAATCTGAGGATCAAGTAGAAAGAGACTGACAATAAATACCGTGCACTTTTCTCTCTCTAACGAGAAGAAAGTGGGAGGGTGTAAACAAGAGTGGAGAGACAATTGAGTATGTGATAATTAATTGTACATACATACAAAGTTATCGAAAAGTATCGGACCCCCCCCCCTAATATTTTTAGTTAGAATGTATTTTGGAGAAATCTTCTTGCTTATCTCGAGAACTTTCCAAAACACTGTAATAAAATATTTTTTCATTAAGTACTTTTTGAGTTATAAAGGTCCAGGTTCAAACCCTGGTAATATTTTGTTGCTGAAGTAATATTTTTCGCAATTAATTTCTTTAATTAAAACTTGCCAGCCATGGGTCGTCAAGCAATTTTCTACATTGGTTTTCTCCAAAATGCATTCTAACTGAAAATATTAGGAAGGTCCGATACTTTTCGATGACCTGTATATTTGTATATGTCACACTACATCTATATCTCACTGCAGACGCAAATAAAGAGAGAAAGCGACACGGTATCTATTATTTATCCTTTTGTACCTGATCTTTATTGTCTGCAAGAGGATACGCTCGGTCTATTTTTACTATGTTTATGGTTCTTCAGTAGAAATTAATTTTAACTTTTACTAAAATTCTCTTTTATCACGCACAATAATAAAAAATAAATTAAATCATACTAATAAATACACCTAACTTTTATATTTCTAAATGATGTAATTGTTACAATATTTAACATTTCTCAGGTATATTGTTAAAACTTTGAAACAAATTATATCCTTTTTTCTTAAATTGGAATTATTATCAAATTTTATTATGGGAAAATATGTATAATCTTTATCTTTTAAAAATGGAAGATGGATATAGAAAACCTTACGTAAACTTTGAAATTAGAAGAATTCTTCTTCTGGAAAAAAAAGGTAAAATAATCAATTTTTTTCATACCGCGATAGAATTCCTAAAGCGAGCAAGTCACTTGCTTTAACCAAAGTGAAGAAATGTGTTTAACCAGTGCCGCAGCTAAGGTGGTGCCATCGATACTTTTATACCGGGCACGAGCCTCAGGAAGGGGTGGAAGGGCGCTGTCGGTTAAGATAAAATAAAAGTATTTAAAAAATGAAAAATGTATATATATGGAAAGTAATACATTTAAGAAAATGCTTAAAAAATAACATTCTTATTCTATTAATAACATAACTTATGCTATAACTTTTTTCTCGAGGACGCATGCATGATTTTTGATTTTTTTTTCTCTTGTAGGAAAAGGAATAACAATTATCGATAGGGATTTCAAGATAGCTAACTGTATGTGACTTTAGCACATGCAAGTCAATTACACATATACTCTATATTGAAGATCTGTAAGGCGAAGAAAAACAGTGTCTTACAGTGCCCCGATCTCCCTTACATAACACTCTGTATAAAAAATATGTCATGGTAAAGTCAGGTAAAGCTTTAATGATTGAACGAATTGATTTGAAACTTAAACGCCATTTAGGACCTGGCATAGGTGGTGGCCATTAAAGTACTAAGTGAATCCCTGTACCGTCTTTTCCCACCCTGTTCTGCGCGCCCCGTTACTTTCCGGACATATAACACAGATTTCCCCTAGGTGGGATCATTATCGTCAATGAATCATCGCGTACATTTCTTTATCTTAATAGATCTGGACATAATTGTATGAAAGTTTAAACATGATATACCCAATTAATGCTTACGTGTCTTGGATAATAATTTATGTATGAAATTGTGATTTATTAGATGTATATATCTACTTGTATGTATGTACATACTACATACCGCAAAGAATATACAAATTATAGACATCTAATGGATATACATTTAATATCAGGCGCTGTATATACATATTGAATCCATCCGTGAATGTACATATTATGTACTGCAATATATGTCCAAATTATGTATATGAGATGTATATATTATACATTTCACATACAGGATATTTTTTTCATGTCATGGAGGAAAAATGCATATACATACGACATCCGATGTTATGTGGGTAAGATTTATTCGGTGATTTTCTTGAGGGAGTAGCATTGTCGTTTTGGAGGTTGCTGTCATAGCAACAAAATGGAATATCGGTTAATGCTGTATTAATCAGTTAATACTGTGAACCTTTCCTTATTTTCAGTGCCATCTCTTGAAAAAATTAAGAATTATTAACTGGCAGACCTGGTAAATATTTTTATATTTTCTAAAATTGATTTAATAAGGGATGGCAAAAATATTTTTTGTTCTTAAATCATATTAATTGTAAACATCTGATTTTAAAATGTTTCAAATAAATCATAAAAGGAATTAAATTTGGCTAAAATATAGAATTATTTTACCATGTATATGTTGCCTATATAATAAAATATGATAATGATTCTAATTCCTAAAGAAAAGTATATGATTTGTTAAGATTTGCAATAATAAATATATATAATTTTGAAAATATTGAACATTAACAATAAAACTATATCTAAATAATTATTAAAGTGAGAATTAATAAATATTAAAAGATGTAAGTCTTGTAATTTCACTCAATTAATTTTAGTTATTGATTGAAAACCTGAAAAGTCGAAATCTATTTCAACCAATAAATGTTTGAAGTAAATAAAAAACTCAATTAAAAATACACAAAGAGTATAATTATATTATCTATGCTTAGGATTATTGTATATCCAAATTTAGTTTCTTAAATAGTTTTGTTTATAAACAATCCAATTATCACTTAATTTTATTTATATTTGTATATTGTTTTGTTAAATCTATTTTTCAAGTATGTCCCATATATTAAGATACATTTATAACTATTATAGTTCTCGCACTTTATACAGGATATTTAAACGTCTGAGCCATACTTCACAAACATACCATAAAGATACCATAGAGCAACATTTCAACAACCTATGTCCACTATGATCAAATTACGAAACTGCGGAGCCTTGAAGTTCATTGTCCGGTCATGTATCATACAGGATGTAAAACAATATAGTTAACCTTTAGTAGATAGGTATGATGGATTTGTTATTGGTTGCAAATTATATATGTTTATTATTATCAATGTCATAGTCTTATACATCTGAATTTGAAAAACATCTTATGTCATAACTTTACAATTTCTATCAACAATTGAAACTCATGAAAAAACCTACTAAAAGCTAATTCGATTGTTTTACGTTTTTTATAATATATAGGCGGCCAAATAACAAACTTCAAGATCCTTTAATTTTGTAATTTGATCGCAGAAGACATTGGTTTTTAGTAAAAATTCTTATTGAAGAAAATTTTGTTTAAGCTGATCTAAAAATTGTTCTCTCAATATCCTTTTGAAGCATGGATCAAACCTTTTGAGGTCTTTATACCAGCAAGAAATAAAATAGCCAGAGCATATTTCTTTGTACTATATGCACGAGAATTATTTAAGGTATAATAACTCTGAAAGTAAAACTTGTATAATTATAGCTCAAATCATATTTATAATTTATTATGAAATAGAAAGAAAAAAAGAAGGGAAAAGGAAAACATAATAATATATACAGGGTTCAACATGATTTTTTTAATTATTAAAATACTTAGAAATGGAGAAGAAAAAAAGACTGGACAAAGGCACCCGTCACTATCTAGATCTAAACTAAAATAAAAGATTTACCTTGATCTAGAATAAAAGAAAAATATAAATCGAACAAAATAATTGCTCATAGATTTAAAAATTCCATTTTTTGAGAAATATTCACGGCAAAATAATGTTATTTACAAGCCAAACAGCAAATAACACAGTAGACATTATTTATACTAAATAAATTAAAAATTTCTAACTTTTTATTTATATTGATAATTACAAATATTTTATATCAAATATGTGTATATAAAAGCTGATCAAATGATTTTTAATATTTTATTCAATTTAAAAAACAGCTGTTTTTTTAGTACTTTACAATTATATTAAAAACTTCCATGGAAAACTAGCATGCAATGCACAAGATCCAATTTTGTTATACATTGTATAATACAATAAAAATAATGATAATAATAATAATAATAACATTTAAAAAGCGATATACATATAATGAATACCTACGGTGTGAATTTTTATTACAGGGTATTCTCCACATGCCCTTTTTATGAGTTTGGATGAATCGTAGAGTAGACCTGATGAAGAAATCTCGCATAAATAATAAATAGAGGAAAGTTCTCTATTATAAGATAAAATTCTAATATGAGATAGTCGGTTCTCAACGTTCAAATTCAATCACAAATCTTTTTTGCAACAATTACACGATCTAATAAGCAATTTTTCACTAAACAGAGATTTCACTCCAAGGGCAATAAATTCATGATGGAACCAATAGATGATGCCTATCAATTTAGCAGAAACTCCGCTATTTCATATTAGAAACCTATTTCATATTAGAAACCTATTTCATAATAGGAACTTTTCTCTAATAATAATGAGAATAAAATGGAAGTGACGTTAGAATTAATAACAATAAATTGTAATTATTACTTCATTGGTTACAATCATCAGCATAATTGTCTTTTATTATTGTTTATAATTATTAACATAATCATCGTCATTATTGTTACAGTAATAATAATGTTCAAATAATTGATCGTTTTAGGATTAAGCTATAACGATATGCGCAACATTATGTTTAATTAGTTAGCAAAATACATTATTTAATTATATATATTATTTATTAATTGCAACTTACAGATTTATAGTACGTAAATTTAAATAAATCAAAAGATACATTACTATATACAAAAGTTATATTAATGCGCAGCCATATTTTCAATATAAATATTATTAAACTGCCTTTGCGGAGATATGATCAGGAGATACCATTGTTAACGATACGTGTGTGTGTATGTGTGTGTGTGTTTGTGTGTGTGTGTGTTTTATTAAAATTATTATCTGTAGAAAGTTTTGATAAGGATATTATTTACATTAAAAAAAACACACAAGAATAAAATACACTTGTTATAATTTCATAGGTTACTTGCTATACTATTAGAATCTTCATTTCTCAGATTGTCCGCAAGTAAAATAATGAATTCGAAGGAATAAAGACTAAAGAGTTGTGACAGGATGTTAGTGTCTAAATATTTCTTATTTTTTAATTTATTGCGAAAATATTACCTCAACCAGGGTTTGAACCTGGACCCCCCTCTCTGGGCGAGCGTCTCATCAATTCCACCACCATATTCTCGCATATGTGCGAGATTAAAAAGACCTGTATTAAATCCCTATTAAATCGCGTCGCGGTTTTAACGAGACTTACAAGTTTAGTAATAAAAAGTTGAAACGTGAGTAGGTAGGAAAATGGATAACACTACAGCGGAATACAGATTGGTAGGAATTCTATAATTTATTGCTATTAAATATAATTATATTTGCTTAAATTAAAAAGAAGTAATGACAAATTATGATATGATTAAATTTAAAAAAGTAATGACAAACAGAAAGCCCTCCTAATTCATTGAATTAGGAGGGCTTTCTGTTTGTCACCCCCTATTCATAGAATATTCCTAAAAAATTCAAAATTTTCTACGTTTCAAGAATATCCTATGAATGTTCAGTGGAAATATTCTCGAGAAAGAATATTGGTTTATACATAGCATATCCGTAGAACATTGCGTGCAATCTCAGGGGGAATTAAAATTTCTACTTTTCGAAATGTGACACCTTGTACATGAACTTTTACCCACATTACAGATGGCGACGCGGCTTCACTTCCAACGCCTCAGTTAGCGGTCTAGTATAATATATGTATACAAGTAGTACATACATACATACTAGAAAGCCAAGGACTAGTAATCGATCAAACAATTCATTCAACCAACGTCAGTGTACAGCAGGTTTTGGTATCTCGTATATTTGTAAAAATAAGGAATTGAGTGATAAATATTTATAGATAAAAGTAAATTTTGTATTTTTATATCGCAATGTCTCTGTACAAGGCAAGAAGAAGTTCTTTGCGTCATTCGCTCGCATATAAATTATTACCAAGGAAGACTCTTATTAGGGTAAGAAGAAAAAATAATTATTGTGACATTTCAAAGGATGATTTCATACAATTTTTTAATATACATTGTGAAACAGTACAAATCTGAAATTTCCATTATAAAAGTCTATAAATTTCGTAAAAAATGTTGTAAGTATATGAAGAAACGTCCATATAACATGCAAAAATTAATTTGTCTTTATAGTGATTATATTTACAACTATTTTGCTAGAATTCTTAAGTAAAATGTATATTTAAAATGTGGTAATGAAATATATCCTTGTTTAATACTCCTGGTCTCTTGCTACAGTTGTTCTTGTTTGATAATGTCCAAATAACACGCTAAGACACCTTGCATGCTATTTTTAATTGAAAAGACATTTGGATAAAAAACATTTCAAAGCCCTTTAACACACTTATGAAATTCTCTGAAAACTTTCCTTTTCCTTCGACAGTTAATAATTCTGCGCCTGTGCGTAATCTGATGCATGACTAAACTTTGTAACACATTCATTTTAGAGGTAATAACTGTCGAAGAAAAAGGATAGTTTTTCGACAATTTTATAAATATTCTGAAGCGCCTTGAAATGTTTTTTTATTAAAAAATAGTACATAAGGATTCTCAGTGAGTGTAATTTTTTGCATTTGGCATCATTAAACAATAGCACTTGCACCGAAGAATCAAGAACCTTAAGGAATTGAAAATCAGTAATTTTTATATATTATAAATTAACTAGAAACAGAATGAGAGACAAGGATATAATTATTTTTATTTAGCCCGATAGATTAAAAGGTCGTTATTTGTTTCGGTCGGCCGTGCGGCGCGTTTTGCAGTATATGGATTGGATAGTGGATGAACCAATAATTGAGGAAATTAGCGACGATGTGACAATTAATATTAGAATGGCCCAACAGAAGCACAAAATAGAAAAGAAATTGCTTACGTTAAAGGTATTCGACGTAGTGCGCGGAACCTACGTCAAAAGTAGATAAGTAGAAATAAAGAGTCATAGTTTTGTAACGTGTAAAAAACATAACTTTGATTGAAGGATCGATCGACACTGTTAGTGAGACCGTCTGAAAGATCCTCTGAGGACAAAACATACATATATGATCTTATAACGAAGTTCCATGCATTTACAAAGCATCCCGACGACTTGAGAGAAAATCTGGCAGCTGTGTGCATTTATCAATACTTACCGCCTAATCGGGTGATCGTTCGTCAAGGTCGTAGAGCGGAAAATCTTTATTTTATTATGAACGGGGAAGTTAATCTGTCGAAAGTAGTGATTGATGACGTAACAGGTGAGGAAAAACCAGTGAAAAAGATCTCATTAAAAGTCTCTTAAGAATTGGGAAAAGTCTTTGTAGTAAATATTACATGGAAAATATTCGCTGTTTTACATGCAAAACAGAGATACGAGATGTATCAACATTTTTCGTTTAGTTTATAACATCTAATAAGTATCTCGTCAATCTTTTTTTATTATTGAGTCATAACTTTTTACAAGCTTCATTTTCTTCGAAAGAAAATTATTTCTAAAGAATAAATCATATAGTTTATAGTTAAACAATATTTTCCGTCAGGTAATGAAAAGGTTGTAGATATGGGAATTATGCATTCAGGGGACATGTTTGGTGAAGTTGCATTATTGCATATGGTATCGAGAACATCAACGATAATCACTAAAAGTTAGTGGAAATGAATAGTAGTAATAAATTAATATCTTTCACGGAGATTTATATTTCTTCTCTTTAATGAATTCCACTTAGCATCAGTCGATTTGCTTCTGATTACTCGGGACGATTTCGATAACGTTTTGCGTGGTAATTTGACGAAAAAATGGGACGTGCTCCATGATGCGTTGGTGCATTTCAATTATTTTAAGCTGTGGGACGAAGAGACGGTACGAGAGTGTTGTATTCTGAGTAAATTAACAGACTTCAAGCCTAATGAGGTAAATGCAATGAACATCTTTTTTATGAGATTTTTTATGTTCAATATTCTCATGGCTCTCTGAAGATGTAAAACACAAATCTGATAATTAAGTATAAAGAAAATACTAATGAATTAATATGAATGAAATTGAAAGGTTTTGTTAGGCGATGGAAAAGGCATGGTGAACTATGTACATTTTATTCTAAGTGGTAAATGTCGCCTTATGGAGCATATGCTTGTTCGCGAATATTCTTCTTATCGTGGAACGCAATATGAATTATATGATCCGAAAAATGTTGGTCCACAAAAACAACCACAAAGAATATCCAGAAAGATTGCAGAATCCGACGAGCTTGAATCAAATCTACTTAACAAATCCATTCCAGTACAGATTAAGAAAACAAAAACATTCTCTTACATACTATTAGGTCATCCGAAAAGTTATGAGAATTTTTGAGGCTCTAAAACAAAAATTTTTGGTCATGGAGCGTACTTTTAGAACTGTTGAGATCTTGTGATTTCACTGCTTGCTTCAGGCGGTCCTTGAGTGGTGTGGAGGGTCTTCCAGACTGTGGGGCATCTTTGAGTCCGAAATTGTCATTACAAAATCGCGCAAACCATCGACTTACTGTAATCCTCGTAAATGTTGCAAATTTCACGGGTAGTTTTCACCGCGGTGTTTCCTTTCCGAAAGCAAAAAAGCATAATGTGGCGTAAATGAAGCTTTTGACTTTTGGCTGTCCATCTTCGCGACTGTGCCGTCCAATGTTACTACCTATAAGCCTTGACCTACGCACTGCCAAACAAACCGATCCCAAATGCGATAGATGGCCGGAATTCTCACAACTTTTCGGATGACCTAATATTAATATACATTACTAGTTTTTTAGTTTTAGTACCTAAAGAAAAAACTTGACACTAACTTTGCTCATGATTTTTCTTTGTGCCTTCTTTGATGCACCAATGCATTCGTGTTTAAACACATCGTGTTTAAACACATCGTGTTTAAACACATCGTGTTTAAAACTTTATTAATGTAATTTTAGTACGGTAAACATAGTTTGCACAAAAAATGCACAAAAGGCTGTTTATCATAGTAACTTATTTGAATTGAATTGAATTATTGCTAACTAGATAGCCAGTGTGAACACAAGTTGCTTTCATATTGCTAACAAAAATGTTAGCATCTTTTTATGTCGTCTAATGTACGGTTGTTTGCTAGCATTTCATGTCGGAAATTAAACATTTGCTGATCCAAACATTACGCTAGCATTAAGCGCTTAGCCAGATGTAATAGATATAACATATTTATATCTGTTCAAAAATTGAAAACAATGCGTTTGCTAACTCTTGGTCTACAGTATACCCATTTGATGGTTTCTCTCTTTATCTGTGCACTCAACTATTTAAATCACTCTAACATTGAATTCATATTCATTTTATTTCCACACATTGTGCTTGAGCATACTGGCTATCTGGGTAGTTAATGATTATACCATATAGTTAATGATTATACCATACTGTATGTATATATGTTTATGGATTATCATAATCGAGACGACTCTTTGAACCGTTATTGCAAACATTTTGATACTTAGTATTATCTAGTAAAAATTATGATATAACAGAAAGAATGTATATATTTATCAATGTTATTACTGTAGAGATCGGTTGAAACACAGGACGAAGTTGATCGATCAAGTATTGTTACCGCTACACTTTTAGACATTGTGAGTATTTACAGTACACTATTCTTCTTCTTGTTTTATTTTTAGTAGAATTACTTGGATCAAATTACATTGCCACGAGAATTTATTTTGCTATTGAAGTTTGCATGTCAGTCAAACTCATAAAAATAAAATGATTATACGTACAAATAAATTTTATTTTATTTATCGGTATAACTTTTGGACAATTGTCAGATTTGCACGTGTTAATAAATGTTGCAAAATTAAGGTTAAAGGGTGGCACGAAATTACCGATATTGCGGCGATATTAATGCAAGAACCGTCTGTTACATCTCAATTGCATTATCCGAATGATGTTCTTACTATATTCATGCAAATATGCGTCTTCTCCCGGGGAGCATGTTTTGGTTTAGGTGAGAAACATATTAATCAAGATATTTTTTTTTTATCTAATGTATTGCGATGTAACAAATCCATATATAATCAATTAGGTGAAGAAATGCATCATCGAAGAATTGTAGCGATTACGCCAGTACGATGTTTTCTTATCCCGCGTTATTGGTTGCTCGAGCACAACCGTGCCAATATTTGGGGGCGTGTAAAACTGTTTATGGATTCCAAATATCCAACTAAGAAACAGTTATTTAATGAATTTCTATTAAATCAAAAGTACGATACATTCTATTAAACATAATGGCAATCACTTTTAAAAATTTTTTTCTAATTATTTTTATTTCAGATGGATGACATATAAGCAGAATTTAGTTAAAGATGTTATTCATCGACGTGGTCATTTCCGTAGTAATACAACGGTACATGATGTACCGTATTCTATCAGAATTACAAATGAAATACATTAAAAAGTATAATTGTTTACATTCTTTTCTAGTAAATCAATATTATTTTAAATAATATAAGTATAGGTCACTATATTTGAATGCATATATTATACATATTTATTCAGAAATAACAATAAAATTTGAATGCGTTATTTATGTAATGTTCTATGTGTGTGTGTGTGTGTGTGTGTGTGTGTTTTATATATTTTGCGTTTGCGCAAATATTGAAAATTAAATCAGTATCATTCAAATTTATACACGTCTATGTCCGCCATTGGTCCACTCTAGATCGTATTCGTTTGATATCCGCAGCGTATGTCCTACAACATCCACCGATGTAGCGAACGCCAAGATCCAGCCATTCGTCAATGAACTCGTGCAGAGAAAGAGCTTCTCCTTCCTTCTTCCATCCTTCGGTTACAATATACTTTTCTCCGCTATTAGGGTATACCACCAACGGTATAAAATCGTTTGACTTGTCTTTATTGATATCTTGCAGCAGCGTAGTAACGGATTGTGGAGCAATACAATTAACGCCAATCGCTAATATTTGTCCAGGCAGTGCATTTTTGTAACATCTGACGGCAATCTCTTGAAAGTTACTGCCATCTACTAAGCTCTTTCCATCGTCTCTACAGGAGAATGACAGCCATGCCTGAGTATTCGGAAATTCCTTAAGTAAATCGATTACGGCTTCTGCCTCGCGAACGCAAGGTATCGTTTCTATCGCCAATAAATCAACACCTTCCTCCAGCAATGCGCGTATGCGAGGTCTATGCCAGTTGATCAAAAATTCTTGCGATACATGAGCACAGTACGAACCAGTGTATTCTGAACCATCGTGTAGACAAGCACCGTAAGGTCCGCAAGATCCAGCGATCAATGGTTTCCTGTTCTTCACATTTGGATCATTCTTTATCTCTTTACTATAAACACTTACAGCATCTTTAGCGTAATCGACGGCTTTACGAATAATCTTAAGGCTCTCCTCCTCCGTGATGCCTAGATATTTTACAAAACCGTCGATGGTTGCTTGGTACGTATTCGTCTCTATAATATCGGCACCAGCACGCAAGAAATCCAAATGAGTAGCAAAAACAGCCTTCGGTTCCGTTATGAGGAAACGTGCAGTCCACAAAGGATCACCGTCAATCTTCTCACCCACATGGGTGGACAATTGTGTGGAAAGACCACCATCCAGCACCTTTATCTCCGACATGATGTTTCTTTTTCTCGGTTTTAGAAATTTAATTCCTTGAAACCCCGTAGAGACTAGAAACCGAGGTTACATAATGACACAACAATTTTATTGCGATGAATATAAATATACATATATGAATATATATTCGCACCTTGATCGCTTAATGTGCTCCACGATACTAAAAGGAATTGGTCCAACGCGCGAACCTTATACACATCGCGAAAATAACTATGTGGGATAACTTATCGTTGTCGTGTCCATTTTGATAGTTAATGATCATCGAAGTGCGTGTTATCAACGCGACTAAATTCTCGCTCCTTCCGGATTGCGCACTGCGCACGAGTCAAAGATCATCGCATCATGCGCATTATCTGATTGCTGATGCAACGCTCGACCACCTCGTTATCTGGTATCCGTAAAAGACGAAAACAGAAAAATATTGATAGGACATCGTCTATCAGTAAGTATATCCGAGTAAATTATCTTCTGAGTTGACCATTTCACCTCTCATGAGACAAACTTAATGCAAAGTTCAAAATACGACGCAAATAGATAGCGTTTTTGGAGCATTATAGTAATCGAAAGAACAATAAATAACGCTAAAAAAGTCTAATAATTTTTACCCAGTGGATTTTAACAACTATTTCCATTAGTTCTGTTCATTATTGCCATGACAAATCAATATTGCTCCCTGAAATTATGGTGCTAATGAGTAACATTAATGAAGTAACCGATGAGCGACGATGCAACGATTAATATCAAAATAAAGGTACAGATAGAAAAAGCCATTTGTATTAGAGATTTTCGACAAATTACTTATGAAATCTGCGTTGAAAATAAAAAAATAAAGACAAAAATTTTGTAATTAGTAATCGTTCACACCTAAAAATTGATTAATACCGTTGATAAAATAATCTGAAAGATTCTCTGTAAACGGACCATACGTGTAATTCCAAAAGCAAACTGATCGTGGTATGACAAAACAGATTGACAGTAAATTTGCTTAGATATAACATCCAGCTGTATCATCTGCGTCCGCATTAAATTCATGTTTTGCCAAGTTTTGTCAATAAAAGTATTAGTTTGTCAAGAAAATCTGGCATTGTTACATGGAGGGCATTGTATCTGTTGTGAGAACGCTGACTTTTATATCTGAGATATATTATAGAAAGATTGGATATTTAACATATACAATATTACACATTTTATATGCTATGTATTTCACTTGTACAAAAATTTATTTTTATTTAATATGTTTCAGTTCAACTAAAGAAATGTCTACATACAATATATGAATATTAAGTACAAATTGATGAGATCTTTATTTACAATATTTCTTATTAATACATCCACACATTCATGCGCGCACATAACATTTATTTTATGAATTTGTATAGTTAATATATTTTGTAAAAAACTTAGGAGTAAACAAAAAGTAAAGAAATAAGAATTTGTGTGTGTTTGCGTGTGTGTTAATTGTAACGATAATATTACAAATGATGATAGCCTATTAAGTATTTAAATATCCATTAATTAAGTATTTAGATTGATCTTAGATGACTAACAAATGTGAACAATACATTCTGTATAAGTGAGTAGATCGTAATAATGCAGATACTTTACTAGATACTTTACTAAATATATTAATTATTTGAAGATATCTCAAAGAATTATTATAGTAATAGTGATAAGCTCGCTTTAAATTTTGACGTTCTTCAAATAAAATGCGTTACAATATCCAAATGTTAAGTTGTTCAAGTTAAGAAATGGCACTTTTTCATACGTTCTTAGCAAAAACTCATCCCCATACTCATAAGGAAGCATACACTATTTTGTTTCAGTGGTCGAATTGGTGAGACGCTCGCCTAAAGTGCAGGGAGAGGTCCAGGTTCAAACTCTGGCCGAGGTAATATTTTTCGCAAGAAATTTTCTCTAATTAGAATTGCCAGTTGCGTCGTTTATCAATTTTCCTACATTAGTTGATTACGTACTAATTTGTCATATAAAGAGAATAGAAATATTCTCTTTGCTTCTACTTACTGATGCATTCTCGATACATTATACAATATTAATCGCTATGGTATATGTTAATTGAGAGATATTTTGCGAAAAATTAAACTTAATATTATATCGAGTATTATTATGGATAGATGTAGATACAAATACAACGGCAAAGTAGTTTAACGCCTTTTCCGCTGTATTTGTAAATTTTGCAAAATTTGCTTTTATGCGTAGAATATATTTTAAGAACAAAAGTCATTGCTCATGTACAATTTTATTTTTAATTCGGATTTTTGTGGGAGGGAAGAATACTTTAAGTGCCGTTTATGTTATTTGATACTATAACTCTAAAAATTCCTTAAACATCGCGTGCTTAACCTAATCCAAAGTTATCATGAATGCAAAGTCCAAAAATAGAGTTTCAAATTATTTTGTAAAACCGTTTTCCAAAGAGAATTATATAAAATTATATATCTCAAATATGCCCAAACATGTTAAATTCGCACATTTTGAACACACAATTAATGTTTATTTATTAGCGCTCCTTGGGCGACATGATAAAAGTTTAAATTTAAAAGAATTTTCCAAATTATATATGAGCAACAGTTTTTCTTCTCAGAATGCATTCTACGCAAAAAAGACACAACTTTGTAAAAAATCTTCAGAAATCAGATGACACTACAGTGTAGATTTAACATTACAACTGTAACAGTAAAAATATCATAAAATATTGGAGTGTAGAATTATGAATAAATTACTAAACCACGTCGAATTTTACTTTTAAAATAATTCGGTATTTACAAGAGCGAGATTAAAAACTCTAAGCGGACTAAGCTTTCTGGTCCATCTCGCAGTTACTGATCATCACGTAACTGGGATTGCTGAAGCTGTCCGGTATATTCTTTCTTAGACTTAGATCATTCTTCTGTTTTGGCATGTTTACGTAATTGTCTTGTGTGCTGATAATGGATGGCGTGTAATTTGTCTTTGAGTCCATTGTGTCCGTTTGCACGGCGTTGTCGATGTCGTTCAGATCTATCAGATGAAGATTCTGCGGTGCATTGCAATAACCGGAATCTCGTTCTATCGGTCTAGCGACCATCTGATTCTTCATTGCTTGCCTCTGCCGTGCGAACTCTGCTCTTCGCTCGAGGACATTGATCGGTTTCAAGTAAGGATCCTCTTCGTGCTTCAGCATTGGAGATTGTTCGACTGCATCCTCAAAGTCTGATGTGGGCGATGGAAAGTTGAAGTGCGAGTGCTCGTCCTGTGGTCTAGGACTAAATATCCCGGACTCATCCGTTGGAGAACTAGGACTCATGCACAAGTACGATGGATCCGATGGGTTTTCCAAAAATGGCGAGTTTACATAATCGTGATTTGGGGATGATAGAATCGTATGATCCGGTGCGGACATCATCGTCAGATAGTCGTTTTTCCCGCTCTCCAGATTTAACGTGTTCATATCCATATACGGTGTATTCAGACTGATGTAATGCTGGTGGGACAGTGACAAAAATGCTTATGTTATATGTATGCTGTGTTTTCTTTGAAGCGTACATACTACCATGGTAGGTCATTTAAAAAAAAAACTTTCACTTGTAGGTCAATCAAATTTTGAATCTACTAACAGTACTGACTTAATTAGGCTCAGGCTTATTTGAACAGTAATCCTTATTTTACTGTGGGTGCGAATCCTTTGTTTCAAAATACATTAGATTGTAAGTTAATTAGATTTTTAACATGGTCATGGTAAGGTGGATAAAGTTTGGTAACGGATTTTCCAAAAATAACTTTGAGCAACGTTTTAAGTTTGTTACAGAGGGTATAAAGAAATGACCAAGAACAAAATTTTCTCACTCTGAAATGTAGAACCCAAATATGTAATAAAACATGTATTTTTACATTGCCATTGAAACAATTGACTTAGGCTTTATTAGGCCCTAATGTGGTTTCACAATCTAATAAGTCCACCTGATAGCCTTTTCTAAATTTAACCAGCTAACTTTCACCAGATTATGAAACGTTTTACCTCAGACGTAAAAGCTAGAGATATTGTAGTGAATTGATTAAATAATAGGCTCTTTTGTATATCATAGTAATATACAAATTATTATATTAATATACATATAAGATATATTATTCTAAAAAATTTCAAATATCTTAGGCAATTGTATTAGGGACATAACTTAAGGCACGATTATGTACAATATATAAATTAAACTTTCAAGAGCCCGACAGTATAAATAACAAAATTACCGGTTATACTTAAAATATTGGATGACTTTATTCTTAATGTAGAAAATTATTTTTATTCATGCTTTTTCTTTCGAAGAACTATTTCGTGTATACACCATCTTTTTTTTTACCTTTCTGCTTATATTTAATATTATTATCGTTAGAGAACAAGGATGAAAAAATAACTCACCAATCTTACACTTTCTTCTAATAAATTTCCAATACTTTCTACAAGATCTGTAAAGCTTGGACGTAGTGTCGGCTTGGCTTTCCAGCATTGTAACATTATGTCGTATACTTGACGAATAGCATATTCAGGCTGTTCCATTCTATAGCCCTCGATCAATTTTTGATACTGTTTCTCTGCCTCCATACCAGGATATGGTGTTTCAGCCAGTGTGAAAAATTCCCAAAGCACTATACCAAAGCTCCATATGTCCGATTGCGTCGAGAAAACTCGATCTCTAATCGATTCGATGGCCATCCATTTTATAGGCACTGGCCCGTCACCTTTTTTTTTGTAATTGCCGTCTTTGTACATAGTCTTTGCTAAACCAAAGTCGCAAATTTTCACTATGTTGTCTTCGGCAAGTAAGATATTTCTTGCTGCCAAATCACCATGCAATACCTGTAAAAATATATATTATCATATACATATTATCATGAAAGATACATCCAATGCACAAAATATCGTAAGATATTCAAAAGTGCAAATATTTGAATACAGTTTAAGCAGGTAAATTTTATTTTAGCTCAACAATTTTGAAGATTAAATTCTTCATGTTGCTTGAAATTATTGTAATTTATTTTTTATTTATTTACTAATTATATCGATACTAAAATATCAACATTTGTTATTGCTGATGATTGCTTTTGCAATTTGACAATTATACATATAATTCAAAACCTTGCCTTTCTTTGACTGAGATATTCCATTCCACGCGCTACTTGGAATGCCCAAGACAATAAATCCTGGGTGCAGATTGGTTTGAGATTTTGGTCTTTGTAGTCACCGCAGTAATTTGATCTCCATTCTGGTTGAGATGAATTACTGTTGACACAGCTGTCTGGCGAGAAATTAATCTCTGGAGAGTCCGGATTTGTTCCCGGGCTGTAGTGAACCACCACACCAGTGTCTGAATTTACACTAAGACTGCGAGAAAAGGACAATGCCGCATATTTTATCCTGTTGTATGGGCAGAAGAGATAAAAAGAACCTTGTTAAACCACAGCCCTTTGCATGCACTAATTTATGCTTATGTGTTCTACATAGTGCATTTTTTATGTAGTATTTATTAATTTTGATTTAGTAGTGTACACTTAATAAATATATGTATAATATATATACACACAAATATGATTAATTGTAGAGTTAAAGTCCTTGAAATTTCTTATGCAGATTAAATTATTAACGAGAGATTTTTGGCGTTAGTAATGTTAGTATAAGAATTTACCTTGTTGAAAACATGTTTAATTAAAAATTAACAGCATTAGTTCTGTAATTTTAGTCTTTATGTTTATAGTTAGATTAGTATTTCCTCTGAGAAATTCTTTTATATACGAAGAAAGAATATTCCCTTTTTCAATTCATTCGCATTGCATTTCATAAAAGCATGAGGTTTAATATGCAGCAAGTTTAAAATGCAGTTAGAAACATTTTTTTTTAATATTATGTTGTGTTAAAATAAGATAAGCTAACAATTAATAGTAATACTATAATTATATGACTAGTAGACAAACCTGTTATTACTACTGATGCTGACAGCCCTCGTCAATATATCCATACCGACAGTTGGATCGAGTTTTCCAGTTTTGGGATCAATTTGATTAATAAAATCATTTCTATGTCGTAAAAGGAAATTATGCAGATTTCCAAAGCGGCAATATTCGACAATCACCAGCAATTCACCTATTGTAGCAAGTTTAAAATTACTAACGTTTAATAACTACTTAGGAGAATTTTATCCGAATCTCTATTCAAAATTTATGATATTATACATGTAGCTTCTTTAAAATAAAGCATTTTAACAGAGCACTTAATTATCCAAATTGATTCGTAATTTCGCTTTTTTTTTAACAATACGTACGTTTGGAAATATTTTTAGTGCAAGCACCAAGAAGATTAACGACGTTCAGATGCTTGCCAAGGTGCACCATAATTTTCAATTCACTCGCAAGTGCACGTACGTAAGTTGGATTAGTAGTCCGACGAACCATCTTCACAGCAACTGTAGTGATACTATCATTTTCGCATATTCCTTGAGCTTCTGCCTTCATTACAACTCCGAATTCACCACTGCCCAATTGTTTTCCTAAAAAATCATTTGTTGAAACGATTGTATTAAATGAGACTGCTTAGGGTGCGTTAGGACGTCTCCCCGAACGCACCCTTTATACTTTCTATGTTATAAAATACAATCGCGCTTACCAAGTTTCAATCGTTCTCTTGGAAATTCCCACCTCTTATCATAAGGAAGTAATTCTGCTTGATCATCAACTGTCAAATCTGGATTTAAACATTCTAAAGCACCTTCTTCAAAGTGCATAAGACCTGCTTCCATTAATTCTTTTCTCATTTTCTGTGTAACAATTCAATGTTAATTTATAATTAGACTACATTTTCCATGAAATATTTTCTTACAACATAATATCAAATTGTTACACATATGTATATGTATAAAACATTATATTATAATGTTATAATGTTATATTATATATACATATATGTATATATGTATAAAATAATAATTATGAAATATATATGTATATTTTACCTTTTCACGACGAACCTTAATCGTAAAGAAGATCGCTAAAATTATTAGGATGAAACCTAGAATAGCTATTGAAGTAGCTAATATAATATCAAGCTTGTGCCCTGTGAAAACGTTTAAGTTTTTAATTTGCTTGATTTTATTTGATAAACATAGTATTTGCTCATAAAACTTACATTTTGCATTTTTCACCATTATTTGCTGATATATCTCGTTGGTACCCAATCGACTAATAGCTTGGCACGAATATTTTCCGCTATCATGTTGCTTCAAATATTTTATATTTAGTTCTTGATAATCATATTTAAAAAAAAATTGATCATTTTCCTTTAACACCATATTGTCCTGAAAAATGTTAAACATAAAGTATATGCGTTGCGTTCAACTTTATTAAGCGAAAATAATAAATAAATTATAAATAATACATATACCTTATACCATGTCACTGTTGGTTTTGGCATACCTTCTGCAAAACATTGCAATATCACCGTCTTGTGGCCTTCGGCGATTACATCAATAGTTCGTATTTTAGTTTCATTCATATTAGTTCTGACAAAATATGGCGACACCGGCTCTACGTAACAGTGAATAAAACATAAATAACAGTTAGTTTGAACATTTTGTCGGTATAACTTAACTGAATTTGATTAAAAATAGTAAATACACTTTTGTAATAAATGAACTTTATGTACACAAAAGATATATATCTCCATACATATCATATAATTTCAATAGTTAATGTTTTTTTCCTAAAACAATAATTATGAATCAAAATACTTTTAAGTGTTTAAATAAACTGGTTATACCGTGGATAACTAATTTGTAATTTGCATAGTCAGAAAGAGATTCTAAAGTGTCGTGATTCAATGCATTCATGATTTTTCCTGTACAGAAATAATCTTTGGCGTCTGATTCTTGAACATAATTGAGTGTTAACGTTGATCGATAAGTAAATGGAGTTTTATGCTGCACAATCTGTAATGTTTCTGAAAATAACAAAAACTATAATTAACAAATACATTAAGCATCTGTTTGTTAACATTTTTACTATTTTATGTGCTATACTGTTGCCTCAGTAATAAGTATAATAAACTTTTACATTAAAGTTGTTTTTGAACGGATAGTATTTGAAACAATAGTATAAAAATAAAAGAAAATATGATTTTATAAAAAAACAAAATAAAAAACTGTATTACAAATATATTATTATGTATAATATATATTTTTTTATTTTGAATTTTTTTAATATTAATTTTTTCCAAATTTTTATCGCTCCTCCAAAAATTCTATGATTTATGTTATCTTTAATATTTTTTTTATGTATATGTATGTGTGTGTGGGTGTATGTGTGTGTGTGTGTGTGTGTATGTGTATAAGTTATCCTTTTTAATTGATTTCAAATCCCCTTTAAAATAATTACCTGTTTCTACAAGTGGCTCTTCAGTTTGATTTATCAGTATGGACCATCTAAATTCATTCGTATAATTGTAAACAGAAGCGGCACATGTCAATTCTATGTCATCGCCTTTCGTCACAGGCTCTTTTGGCCCAATAATGCCAAAAGCACCTACTCCATCTAAATTTAAGATAAGAAGAATTATTATTGATTATTGACATATTGATTTAAAAACATTTTTATTTAGATGATTTGAGTCTTTTTTAGAAAATATAATATGTTTTATTTTGTATTTGATAAGAAAATAACTTAATTAAACAAATTTTTTCCTTTAAAATATTTTTCATAAATTTATAAAATTATATAGAATTACATAGAATTATAAAGACGTGAATAGAAATACACAATGTAAAATATATGTATTTGATACATAATTTTATATGATTCTATACATTTATACATGCTTATCTGCATAAAAAATTTTTTATCGAGTATGAATCAATGCTATAATTAGAATAATAGAATAGGCAAATGTTTCCATTTTTCAGATTTAATTTTCTAATTAATATTTATTTGTAATATATTAAAAGATGCTGTAATTACAAGTTATAATAACTGGGTACGCAAAACAAAATATTGTTACCCGAAACAAGAATGGTCTCAGTTACAGAATCACAGGCAAAGACATTACAAGCTTTACACGTTATTTTCCCTGATACTTCCACAGGCATTTTTACTGTTGATTCAAATCTGTAACTAGAGCTGTAAGGTGCAATTTGTATCACATCCTGTAAAATTAATTTTCTATTACACAAAATACAAATAGAAATTTGTTTAATGGAATCAGATTAATATGGATATGAATATGAAATTTACCGTCAGATGTACAGTTGTTGAATCTTCAAGCGATGGATAAAAGGGACACTTCAGAAAACTCCATGTTATATTTGGAGGTGGATTAGATATTACTTCACAATAAAACTCTGTACTTTCATTAGGTGGATAGTAAGGGTCGATACGGGTCAGTAAGGAAACCGGCTTAGCTGAAATCAATGGTAATGTTGTACAACAATATAAATAAAAATTATATATTCTATTATTCTTTTAGTGCATTTACTGCAGTTTTTTTATTTAAGATCTTTGAGTGTCCACTGTAGCCATGTTGGATTGTAACGTCAGAAGCAAGAAATATCATACTGAGATTCTTCCATGACGTTTTTAAATAAAGAGATATAATATTTCGAAGAAAAAATATTTTAGATCGCTTTAGCACACTTATAAAATATTCTGAAAATTAACCTTTTCTCATGACAGTTGATAAACAGCCGTAAAATGTGAACTATGTTACATGAATCCTAGTCAAGTGCTAAAATGATTTGGTGTTTTTTTTTCTTTCAAATATGGGTAAAATTTGTGTAGGTGCCACTCTAACAAAAAATTCTAGGTTTTTAAGCAATAAATAAAATTATTACAAAAATAAAATTTTATAATCTTTTTATAATTTTGATTGCTACAAGAAACTAGAGTTTTTATTGAAGTGGCACATTTACCCAAAAAATCTTGTATTTAAAAATAAAAAGTAGCATGCAGAAATTCTCAAAGTATCATCTTCCCGCTTTCAACGTCACGATCCAAAATACAATGAGCACCTAGGAGCCTTAACGCTAGAAAATAATTTCGATACCTATAACATCCAATGTAAAGTTCACTTTTTCGATCGTATAATCATTTTTTGCTTCAAGTGTGTAATTTCCTGTATCCATTACGCTTAATGAAATTATTTTCAAAGTGGTAGCTGTTGCACTTGTGTTCATGAAATACTTTGGGCTCTCTATAATTTCTTCGCCATTAGGCTTGAACCTATAGTAAATAAAATATATATTTAACATGTATTACGAGTAACAGACAATACAAAAATATATCACAAACGCTTTATAAATATGATTACTTTATTCGCATATGCGTGAATAACATATATTAGTATAACTTTTAATTTTGAAAATTAAATATTGGGACCTTAAATAAGTCTGTGCGTTTTTCTAACAGATAGCGTAACTAATATTTTTCGCATCGGTACATACTGCAATCATACTTTATGTGCCAAAGCACCATCAGTAGGCTTCAATTTTTATTATATGTCACCAGGCCGAAGTGTAAACAACATTTTTTAGCATTGAACATGTCAAATTTTATAGCAGCAAAAGAGTATTTGCGGGAATTTTACTTCTCTGCTTTAACTGGAAGAAAAGTGCAGCCGAAGGGCATCGAATGCTTGTGGAAGTTTACGGTGAACATGCACCAGCTCTGAGAACTTGTGAAAAATGGTTTCAACAATTCAAAGACGGTGATTTTGACACGGTAGACAAGAAACGTGAAGGCGCGCCGAAGAAGTTTGAAGATGAGGAACTGGAGGCGTTGCTCGATGAAGATCTATGTCAAACGCTTCATGAGCTTGCCGATTCATTGAATGTGACTGAAGCAGCTATTAGCATACGTTTGGGTGCCCTATGAACTGAAGCCGAGAAACGATGAAAGGTGTTTTTTCAAGTGTGAATAGCTGCTCCAAAGGCAACAAAGGACAGGGATTTTTCCATCGTATCGTGACTGGTGACGGAAAATGGATACGCTACGATAATCCAAAGCGAAAAAAATCATGGTGCAAGCTTGGCCAACCGTCGACATCAACGTCAAAGCCGAGTATCCATGGTGCCAAGCTCATGCATTTGGTGGGATCGGAAGGGCGTCGTATACTATGAGCTGCTAAAACCGAACGGAACAATTACTGGGGAACGCTACCGACAACAACTAATGCAATTGAGCAGACTACCACTTGTTTCGGTCGATGACTCATGGCCTGTCTGAGGAGCGCTTCCATTCTTACGAGGATACTGAAAAATGACTCGATTCGTGGATAGCCTGAAAAGACGAGTCTATTGCCAGAAAGATGGGCAAAAGTAGTGACTAGCGATGGACAATACTTTGAATGATGTATTAATGAGTTTTCCTAACAAGAAAAGCGCACAAACTTATTTAAGGTCCCAATACATTATAAAACTTTACCATTGTAAATACGGTTTTGGATAGCCATCAACATAAACAACCCATTGAATGTAACTACCGCTTTCGGCTTGATAATATTTATCAGTGTGTTGAGGTACAAGATTTATATATTTCATTTGAGGATCTGAAAATATATCAATTTGTAGGAGCTCAAAAAATATACATACAATTTGCGCTAATTTTACATTGCACTTTGTAATTCTGCATATTTATTTTACAATATTCGCATATAATCAGCCGATTGAAATGTATTGCGTATTCAATTGAGATATATTGTTTTGCCACAAATATACATTCTTTTATGCATCTAAATTAATAATAGACAAACCATGTATCATGATATTCTTTGTTACTCTCTTGATGTCATGTCTCGACCTAATGATGCACTCATATTCTCCTGCGTCCTTGTCTGTTACATTAAGTATTATCAACTGAGACGTAACTAGGACAGAATTCCCGTCGAGATGTTTTCTGAATTGCTCAGTGCTTATTCTACTGCTATTCTACAAATGAAACAAGATCGCGTATACGAGCATGTAAGTGATAAATGTTGTCATCAGGAAGATCTATATGAGAAACTTATATATCGGTTTGAATTCTCAGGCAGAGAAACTTTTAGATTCCCAGAACTAGAACTTTTCTTCGAATTCTTGAAGAAAAACTAAATAATTACAGATCAATTTCTTTGGCGTTAACGTTTCTTTCTCTTATTTTTCTGGATATCTTGGAGAAAATAAAAGTAAATATAACATTATGTCTGCAAAAAATGGATTAAAACAGATATAAAAAAAGCAGGAAAGAAAGCTCTTTTCATCACTAATTGCATTGATTTCTTTCACGTTAGCAATTGAGAACATTAAAACATGTTTTTAACTACAGTTTAATCTTATTCTAATTTTGTCATTTACTAAAAAAAAATAGTGTATTTACCTGCTGTGGTGTATGCCAATTGATTACGTATTGCATGGATAGCTCCACTTCGACAGTACAATTAACATAGAGATCTTGTCCACGTGTAATATGTAGCAGGCTATCATCTTGAATTTTTGGTTCAGGTAAGATTTGTTTTACTGTACAAATAATTTAATCATTTTTATTAAATGAAATGACCATTGGCTCAATATTGTTTTACCATCGAGCCCAAATAATCACGACTGTGTTGTAGCACTTTTCAATGTTACATGTGTACACGTGAGAATAAATTAATATCTCGAGTCGAAATCGTACTTACGGTGTACAGACAATATATAATTGACCGCGTGCTCTTCACCATCCTTCTCTATCGAGCACTTGTACCAACTGCTATCTTTCACCAGCAGATTCCTAATTGTAAAACCAATTCTTGGATCAAATGACGCCTCTTTCATCAATTCTTCTTCCTACACATTAAACAATGAAAAATTTTAGAAACATTTTATAATAAATATTTAACAAATTGATACAATTAACACTACTTCCAATGACATAGTTTGTAATATAAGAGAAACTGGAATAGCAACGATATTCCAATAAAATAGCCTTCTTAATTTGCCGTGTTGCAATTTTAAACTTATTTCTAAACAGAATAATATTATATTATAAAGGACTAGCACGCTTGCTCGGCTTCGCTCGAGTCTTCCTTTGTTTGGAATCTCCTTTTTTGGACGTTTTATTATTTCTCATTCGCACATATTTTATTTCGTTTTTTAATAATTATATCACGCCTCTCGAATTTACTGCCAATCATGACAATTGCAACTTCATTAACAGTTGGAGCATTACAACTTGTTTCATGTTCCTCAACTGGTCTCTTATCCGCTCGAATAACTTAATATTCATCCGTAGACTTTCTTTCCAACACCGTTTTTTTTTAAATATATTTACTAAATTATTATGTTGATGCAAAAATTGCTGTAAATTTTAAACAATATTTCGTCTCACACCGAGAATATTTTTATAGCATTAATCGGTCTCTTCTTGTTTATTTACTCTGTTTTTCATTTCCGACGGGAGGGGAAAATTGACTCAGCTACTATAAAGAACATTACAGACAGACAGAATTTTACTTTTATATATTATATATAGAACCAAACTCTTGTACTGAAAGCTAACTAAATATGTGAATAAGGAAGTTCGGTATATTGCTTAGTACATGGTACTGCATGTTTTATAAATCTAATGCATTTTTAACATGAAAAATTCTAAGCTTTCGAAATGTAAGGTATTTAAAGTTAAATATATTATTTTATTTAGTTTTATCTTCCGCTAGTTATTGCCAATACTCACATTATTGTGATCAGACAAGATAGGCAATAGATCTGGCGATGTAGGTCTGCATGGTATTACAATACTACCGCCAGCGATTGCACTCAGGGGGGCAAAAGTCTCTGCTTCCACGAATAAATTCGTATTAGCTGTAACATAAATACAATTATAGCAAGCAAAATGCAGATATAAATATATTCTTATTGATCTGCATATTAATGAGAGATGTATGACAATTTGATCTTACACTTCACATAGACGTACAACCAGTTCACCTCAGGGTCATCGTAGAAATTTTTAGTAATTTCAACATTGTAATTGGTGCAACCGTACCAGCCTGTATCACCGAAAACGGTGTTTGGTCTTTGAAAAACATATTGATAAATGCCATTTTTTTCTTCCTTGCTCGTTTTTGGGGTTGAAGTATTAACCTGTCAGAATGTAACAATAAAAAGTTTAACACCCACATGCCCGTACGTGCGTGCGCTTATGCCAGAAGCTTAAGAAATTTCATTTTTACACAGGAATTCAAATAGAAATATTAAAATTTCTAATGCAAATTTGTATTCTTATAGCTAAGTAAATGCTAATTTTCAATGTACAATTCTTATATTTTCAAAATATTTGCTTATTAAGATTGAAGGAATCACTTTGTATCCATGGTAACTACAAGCATAAAATAAAATTAAAACTATACAATTTTGTAAGAAATTATTCATACAATTTTTATATGAAATAAAAGACATTTCGATATCTGACATGTAATGTAAAATATATTCCATACTAATCAGGTAATATATGTATAAGCAATATCGAAATTTAACTTAATGAAATTTATAATGCATACCGCGTCTCCAAAAACGTCGGGATAAACAAACTTAATTGGTGCAGAACCAGTGCACGTAATCTCTAGAGGTTCTCCTTCGTTTATTACAATTTGTCCTTCGTCCGGCGAAATATTTGGTTTGTCACTTGCCGACACACTATACACACGTGCTAAAAAAAGAACAAAATTATTAATTCGTGTTTTACAACTTTTTGAGTAATTGGTAATTTTTCTTACAATCTTAAGTGAACCTAAAGTAATGGCTGAATTTCAAAGCTAATTTAACGTTATATATTATATTAAACCCAGGACGTAAACATGTATTGAGAATACATGTTTACATACACAAAAGAGATAAGAATAACATTACATAACTAACTCATTAAAGCACCCTCTCACAAGATTTGGCATCTACTATTACACGTAATGTGTATTTTTATAGTGAGCTGTTACGTTCAGCATAGCTAATCTTAAGTGTCAAAGTGCTTTTCTTCGTTTTATCTCTCATTCTTCTCTCGTTCACTCAAGAGAGCATTCCGACGTCCCAGATTTGCAATGCCGAACGCAGCTCTTGTCCGACCCAAAAAAATTTATCTATGCATATTACAGGGTGTTATGTGTAAGGTATCCATTCTGCTCGTTTACAAATAGAATGTATCAAATGGAAAAGTGTAACTGAAATGTACCATTTTGTAAAATTTAGAATAGTTATCGAGTAATCAATTTAAACGTCTGAACGAATAAACGCGAGGTAAAGCCGAACTCGGTGTATAAAGCGAGAGATAGAACAATGCGTGATATATGATACCGTGCCGGAAAAAATTGTCAAGCAGCGAGCTGATAATTTTTCGGCGTGGGGCTATATGCCACGCATCGCTTCACTCCTCACTATCAGGTGATGCTCACCGTTTCTGGAAGATCTAACAAATAAGCCATTTTACATGCCCATCGAGTCCGACCAACCGCTTTCCTCACGCTTTATTCGCTCAAACGTTTTAATTTATAACTACTCGATACTATTGCAAATTTTACAAAATATTATAGTACTTTTCTGTTCAACCGTTCTACCTGTATACGAGCGGATGGACACCTTATTTGTAATACACTTTATATGTGCATAAATATATGTATGTACATACAGTATGTACAACCGCAGTTATCAAAATATCATAAACTAAATATTGAAAAAGTTATCAATTTTTTCTTGAATATATTTAATAGCGCATTTGAATCCTTATCACATTTATTATGTGTATCTTGTTTCTTGTTAAGATCTACTTTTTCTCTGAAATAAAATTGACCCTCAAAATACAATACTTCTACGAGTAATCGGCCCGTTAAAAAGTACAACTTTAATATTTTTCTTTCTGTTATTTCATCGGCAACTGGATCTAAAATTTTACGTACTAATAGATAAAACTTATAACAACTACAATGTACTTAAATTTAAATTTTTTCTACTTTTGGTCGGTTTATACAAGAGCCACCTTAAATTGCAATTCGTCGATGTAAAATGCATTTCTGTCGAAATATAATAGAAATTGTTGCCGCATAAAAAGTGGCAGTTTCAAAAAAACGTCATCACGTTAGCCACAATGTCCTGCGGATGATTGGCTTTATCTTCTCATTACTCTCTTCTGTATGAAAAGACGGCACACACGTGCTGTCGGACTGTTTATTCGCAAATGCGACTGTGGCTGGGAAGGAAGTCCTTTCTTCCTTTTTAGATAATATGCCCGTATTATCAGCCTGTGTGTTTGTTGCAGAAGCCATAGGAAATATAGAAACGTGGGCAACTGGGATTTGCAGATACATATTGTAGATGGTTAATTAATTAGCGTATAATAAAGACAATTGCATATAACATGAGTTTATAATGGAAAGTTTATACGTTAATTTTTTTACAGTTAATTAAACAATAAATACTTTACAGTGTGTGCGTTTCCAAAGAATGTTTATTTTAAGAATATTACTAAATTGATTATCAATTTAATTATGTTTACTATTTTACATAAGCTTATTGCTAGGTTTTAAAACCGAAAGTTATTGACCCGTAGTTTGCTTTGTTGAAAACAAATGTATACGCAGAAATATAATTAGGCACTACAAAGATCCCGATGGTAAAATTTGTTTTTATTATTTGTTATTCACACTCACAATCAATTTTATATAATACATAAATATTATACTAATATTGCAAACACCAGAGAAAAGACTATTACTGAAAATGTGTTCGTATTATCAGAATCGTATTTAAAGTTTATGAACTTATGTGTAATATCTTATCATAATATCATATAAAAATAAAGAAATAAGAATTAATAAGAAATGAATAGTCGATTTAATGTTTTATGCCAACAAGCATATTAATGTCACTGCAGAGAATTTTATGTGATAAGAATCTATGCAATAAATATCACTATATGTCTCAGTGATTGAATTAAAGACATCCGTCACGTATTGTATGGACGTCCAGATTCATACTCGAACATAGGTGATATTTTTCGTAATATTTATGGTACGACAATGGACATATATTGGATTGCTTGAAAAGTGCTCAGCCTAATTATCTTTAAAATTGCTAAATAATTAAATGAATAAGAAACCATTACGGTTTGATGATATATTTCTATATCATTGTCCTACAAACTTATTTTTCCTACAAACATACGTGCCTAACGGTCTTTTTACTAACACAAGTATTTGATTGGCTTTATACAGGCGAGAGATTCATTCTTCAGGTTAAGGTATGAGTCATGTGGCTCTCATTCTACACATGCCTCCCAATAGTGTGGAACATACTTTATCGATAGCTTTATCGGCTTGATTGGTTTACAGGGTCATTTATCAAAACGGTTTCATTAAATATTTTAAACGTAGCAACAATTGCTAAAAAAATACTGCAAATTTTTTATCAAGTGATAAAATATCTTGATTATTATGTACAAAATATAGTAGTGAAAATTAGTGAAAACTGATGAAGAAAATTCTGAGCAAATTTAATTTTGACAATTGTGATGAAAGCTATAGTTACAGAGCATCAACTATGGAATTTTGCATTTAAATGTTTTCTAATTGTTGCTTATCAATATCAAATTTTCTCTCTAAGATCAATTTAAAAAAAGACTTAATAATTATAATTGGTAGAATTTTCCATTGCAGATGATATTATTTTTCACAATAAGAAAAACACATTTTATTTCTTTCATTATACTCTTCTATACTGGACAGCAAAATGTGTACCAGACCATTAATCGAGATTGGACGTTTTTTGGGTCATTTAAGAAATAAAGCTGGGACGCTGTTTCAGTTAATCGACGACCGGTATTTGCTGACTATGCTTCTGCGTCGTATACGTTGAATAAAATCTGACCCCGACATCGATAAATATGACTCAATGTCGGCCATGTGACTACGTTACACGTGAGCGAAAGATCTTGTACACGGATGATGTGCATCAGGTGTGCGTTGCATTAATTACCTTGGCAGAGTGCTAAAATGAGCACCAGAATGCGATGTCGTGCGTGGTGCGGCAACATTTTTATTTCTTGCACACCTCGCGTTACCGGTTTGTCACATATTTACACATCGATCCAGCAATTGAATTTTCTACATTGATGCAACACGAGGAACAGATTGAACGCGAATGCGTCCGAAAAAGTAAATCCCGGTGTCTCTCTTTCCGAGCCCAGTTCTCTCCACTCTGGAGACTTTCATACTAAAGCTTGCTGCAGCCACGACTCAACCAATAGGCCCCACCCGGCTGACTTCTCGTTCGAGTACAGTTTATCGGTGTCGACGTCATCTCTTGACATCATTCGCAATCTGCTTCTCAGAGGCAGCTACATCGAACCGATTCCTATAGTCGCACCAGTCGGCGATCGTCTTTATCACAAATTACACTGTAGATTCGATATTGCTTCAATTCTGAAAAGAACACGCGTATCGTGTATCGAGGGAGGAGAAAATTAGATTTTATATTAAATATAGAATATATACATAAAGTTACGAGCAAAAACACATTGAAAAGGTAAGAATTCAGTATTTATTTAAATCGAAGCGTTACATCATCCCATCTTGTGATGATAAATTTCCGTTAAAATAATTATTTTTAACAGATTTATTGACAATTTTACGTATTTCAAAAATATTTATCATTAGCTTATTTGATTGTTAGTATATTTATTAGTATATTTTTCATCAGTTTTATCATTTTTCACCAATAAACTGATATACAAACCAATTTTGTTAAATTTTATTTGTGCTCATTAAAATTTGCCGACTTTCTTCTTTTCAACGCAGTTTTTTTAATAAGTAAATGCATGGTATAATTGCGTGATAACATGTTGTCAAAAATCTGTTAAAAGTAAACTGTCATGTTTGAATAATGAATATAAAAAATAAAATTCCGTACTCTGTTCCAAATAACATTAAACATTTCTATGAACATTTTAGAAATATTGTTCAAGAATATTTTGAATGTTTCATAGGACATTCTTATATGTATATTTATTACGAGGGGGAAACCACTGACTAAAATCTTACACACCAATTGCCCAGTGGGCATTACTTAATCTTATTAACAGTAGAAAGAATAATTCAACGACGTTAGGCTGACAGATGTCTTTATTAATTAGATTCCAACGTTTCGACCATACGGTTTGTGGTCCTTTTCAAGGAATTAGATGTTAAATAATAAATCATCAAGGATACGTCAAAAGAAACGGTCTACAATCCATCCTTGGGTGTCATTCGGAGAAAAGTGTTCGAAGTGTTCGAAGGACAATGAGTCCTACTTTGGTCGTTACGTCGGATAGACGTGCCTTTGACTATCAATTCTTGAAACTTTATACTGTATAATTGAAACCGATTTGGAGTTTTTAAATGTTGAAACTTTAAACATTAAATTAAATTCAGAAAAGTCTGTCATTAAAAAGTATTTATGCAATAAAATATTGGATATAATAATAATTCTTGATCGGTTATTCATATTGCGCTTGCTGCGTCGGTTAGCGTCGCGCTTCCATAGATCTTAAAAGATCTATGTGCGCTCCGCACTCGCTCTCGCACTTGAAATAACTAAGACTGGGTGCAGTGGTTGAGAACTCATTTGTTTGGAAAGATACAGCGAAACGATATAACACACAAGACCCGAGATTTTGACAACTCCGGAAACAACAGATCGGTGGAAAATCCATGTCAACTGGTCGAGAGGTCGATAACAGCTGGTTGTCAAGGAAACGCCTCGTGATTACTTCTAGATCACAGCTCTATTTAGTCGGTTTCTAAAAGTATCCCAGATGGCACACATAGTTCTATGAATATTTTTCTGGAGTGCAAATATTCTTATTTTCGGAATATTTTATAAATATATATAGATTATTACAATTAGAAATCGTATATTCATAACAAAGAAGAACACTTTTAGAATATTCGTAGGGAATGTCTATGGAATATGCGTTCAGAATTTTTTTCAATATTCCTCGAATTTATGTATTGCACAGTGTTTATTGTGCAATACACCTTATCTTATGCAAAAGGCAGTGCAATCTGTGATCATATCATATACATATAACCGACACGCTATATTCGATAGATTATTCTATTCACATTCGAAAAAGATTTACAGTAGTGCCAGTCGAATGTTCCGCGAACATAAGATAAATATATAAGAATGACCTATGGAATATTTCAAATATTCTTGAAGAATATTCTTAAAATGTTGATAGGAGTATCTTGTGCTATATGGGATTGTTGCGGACGCAATAATATATGTATAATACATACATGTCCGCGCAAAAATGCGCACATTGGTGTCATTTATCAAAAAATTTTTTTTGAGAGGATTTGGAAGTACTATAAATAGAGATGTAGATGTTACAATCCATGTATGTGTAGTTAGTGAATTTATTATTTTGTCGTGAGATATAACTGAACAGTAATTTTTACTGAGTTTGTAATTAATATTGCTTTTTTACTTTTAGAGGGATGGCAATTTTGTTTGTTAGCAAATACAGTGTTTTACATTAAATCACCGTGCTTGTAAAGTTTTGCACGCTATCCTTCTATCGCACCGTCATACTATTGGGATCTGTAAATTAGCATGAGCTAATTGTGAAAATTGGCGGTTATTAAACTTGTTAGCAGAAAGAATTGGCATAGTTTGTTTCTTCAGAATAATTTTTTGGTATTTCGTAAATTTATTTAAATATGTGATATTTTAAATATATATGAAGCACTAATTTTATGTAATCTTATGTAAAATGACCATTTTTTAAAAAAGGTAAACAAAGACGCCAGGTATAAGCGCCATCCAATCAAGAATTATATAATTTAATTATTCGGATATCTTTTATTATTATATTAAATAAATTTTTATATTATATACTATATACATATTTATATTACTAGACACAAGCGCGCGCCATTTGCTCTGACTGAAAATATTGCGGACCGCATAGCAGAACATTTTCATACTTAAAACACTTAGTTGAGAAGTTTAATAAAAGATATCGGTATTTGAAAGTTTCCACTCGTAATTCTAACTAAATTTTAAATTGGCTTTATAAAATTGTAAAGTTCTTCCACACGATTAAAGTACGCATAAAGACAAAATTAGGGACAGTCGGCTTTTATCGTCGAGATTTTTCCTGCCAACTTCACGCTAATTTTTGTTTCTTTATTTATTAAAAAATTATAAACCAACAAATATTAATATTAGGCCAACAATCGCCTACAAACGACCAACAAACGATCTGCAAAAAAATTTTTTTTTAAGTCAAAATTGGCCGGCTAAGTTCCCGGAGATTATGAAGCCCTTTCAAAAATTCCGTCGAAACGGTCTTGTGATTGGCGTTCCGCTGATTCCGCTTCCGCGTATTCCGCTCCAGGGGACGTCGGCCTTAAGCCTATCACACAATGCCAGGCAACAGGAACAGGGAATAGAATTAACGCGTTGGATTGGTTGGAAGAAAATTTCCGACGAATCCAACGCGTCAAAAATTCTATTCCCTATTCCTATTGCCTGTTGCCTGGCATTGTGTGATAGGCTTTACGCTGCATGTCACGCAGTCACGCCACTCCCCATGTGATATGTCATATGATAACTTGCGCACACGGAGGTATAGGATAGGTCTGTGTTCTGTCATCGATATTTATTTCTCGCTCTTGCTCATAGATGATCGGGCGTCAACGTATGTATGTACGTATGCATACATAAACAGATTTTTACCGCGTATTAACTTTATATTTCGTAATTTATATTTCATTCGTGTTGCATTATTCAATATTTGTACTTTTATAGCGAATTTGATGTCCATATCGAACCGAATCCAGGCTGAGGATTAAGTGCTATTTTACTGACAAGAAAAATAAAAAGTCAAACGGCGGGACGAAGTCTTTCCGATGGGATCCAGGATGTACCCGAAACATTTGAGCACCGGTACCAAAGAAATATTTATATCGCGTAAATTGCTTAATTGACGGATTTGCATAGAATATCCCTCCCACAAACGTGCACTCCTTTCAGGATCGGTACCGCCGCCCCTCGTACCCGGCAAAATACGCCTGTACAGCATGCGCTTCTGTCCGTTTGCGCAAAGAATCCACCTCGTGCTGGATGCCAAACAAATCCCGTAAGCATGATTATTACTTCACAGCTGTTGGCTTTCTTGTCTGGAATATCAAACGTTACACTTTGAAAAATTATATTTGAAACTTATTAAAAAGTATACACTGCTCAACAAAATTGAAGAATTACTTAAAATAAGTGTAAAAGCAGGACCAAATTCAAACTCGTGTATCTTTGCCAAAAAATGGTTGTAGAACAATATTCAAAAACCATTTTAAAGCTTGGAACCTCAGCTTCCCAATGTTTGCAGGCTCATTTGTCTACAACGATTTCGCTGCAGAGCTTTCTCTTTAATGTGCTTTTCTCTTCTCAGCACTAAAAATTTACAGTATACGTTACATGCACTATAGATCTTCAGCGTTGACAGTGAATTTTGGAACACAGCCATTATATGGTACTTCTCGAACTTGCCTTTTTACTTTTAGATATGATGTAGTAAATGTGAATCTAACACATAAGCCGGAGTGGTTGATAGAAAAGAGCCCCCTTAATAAAGTTCCTTGTATCGAACTGGAAAATGGAGAGACACTTTATGAGAGCCTAATTATTGCTGATTATCTGGATGATGCATATCCTCAAAACAAGCTATATCCAAGTAATCCTTTAATGAAGGCTAAAGATAAGTTGTTAATCGATAGATTTAACACAGTGATATCCACTATGTACTTTAAGGTATTTGTTATACTGGTTCTTGTTTTTAAATATTTTTATATATAATTTTTGTATACGCGCGCGCGCGCGCACAGTCTTAAACTATATTATATTTCTGCCTATAATTCTCAAATGTATATTTCCGTGATTAATCTATTATATTTCGCTTTCAGGGATTCAGTTCAGAAGCACCACTGCAGCAGGATGATTTCAATGAGATACTAATTGGCCTAGAACTCTTCGAACGGGAATTAGCAAAAAGAGCAACTCCCTTTCTTGGAGGCAGCAAACCTGGCATGCTGGACCTCATGATATGGCCGTGGTGTGAAAGAGCAGATGTATTAAAGATTCTAAAGGGAGAGCAATTCGCCATACCTCGGGATCGTTTCTTGCGACTGGTATATAATATTATTAGTAGTCAGTGCATATATACATACACACAATATATAGATATATGCGATAAAAATGTTCTCGTGTAATACAGCTTAAATGGAGAATGGCCATGAAAGAAGATAATGCGATATGCGGCAGCTTCCTGGATGCCCAAGTGCACGCCGACTTCCTTCGTAGTCGCCTAGCTGGGGCACCTCAGTATGATATAATAGCCAACAGCTAAAGAATCCAAAAGAATGGAGCTATGATCCGTTCCAACTTGCAATATTTTTTGAAGGTTGAAGGATACACCACTTTGTACGTTGTCATTTCGATAGTACATTATATTTTATGTACTTACATATAGGTATATATACGTATATGTATGTATTTTTGTTAAGTAAAATTGATGTTTATATATAATCCGTCTAGAACGGATACCATCTAGTTTGTGAAACAGAGGCATTTATCTTGTTATGCTGATTAAAACAAAATAAATTTTTTTATAAGAAAGTACGTTTTGCACAATGTATGTGCGTTTAGACGTGTATACATGTGACTGTATGCACATACAGGGCATTTCAAATGCCACACAATCTTTCATATAACCTACCTACATACATCTGAGACATGTTATTACAATGGCATTATTTACACATGTATCTTGATGTGATACATACCGCATATTACTTTTAAATAACATTTCTATTTGTATACGGATGGTGTTGATTATATTCTTGGCAATACTCCTGATCGCGACATAAACTCTGATACATATATGTAGCTAATTAACAGTAAAAAAAACAAAGACATGAAAATTGAAGTATCATAGATTCACTTTTTCTGCACACTCTTTGAAAGACAAATTCGACATTTATAAAACCTGGCTTTTATAGTTGGCAACTGGTAAACTGTGTCCTCGACAATTGTATCATGTATACAAAAAAAAAACTTACAAAAATAGATAACAATCGAGTTTTGTTACAGGTATTAAACATTTCCGAAAGTCATCATATATATTCCGTAGAAAAGGAAACATACAAAAACTAAACACGCCGTTATCATGAAAGTTTTTGAGTTTTCTTTCCGTAAGCTTTGCAATTCCTTTTCGTTTCGCTCGAGAACTTCCTTAACTTCCTCGAGCTCGTTCTCCAGCCTCTCTCGATTTTCCGTGGTGAGTAGTTTCGTCTTAAGTTTTCTCTCGATTACGTTGACCCTGTATAAGGTATCTTTTAGGCTCTCTTCTACATGTTCCATCTAAAACAACACATCGACAATTAAGCGAGTCGCAAATTCATGTTGAACGCTGGTATCAGCGTTGTCGGAGAGAAACCTGAAGGCCCATGTCCGCGATGCTAGAACTTGGATCAAGTTCTAG